CCACCATGCCCGGCTAATTGTTTTGTTTTGACTTTTTTTTTTTTGGTAGAGATGAGGTCTCACTATGTTGCCGAGGCTGGTCTTGAACACCTGGCCTCGAGCAATTCTCCCATCTCAGTCTCATTGTGTTGAGATTACAGGTGTGAGTCACTGCACAAGGCTAAAACTGTCTCCCCCTACAAAGAGGCTGAGTGGTATAGTAGAGGGCAGGAGCTGGCTACATCATCATGGAGATACGGATCTGACTCTACCACTCACTCTGGGTGACCTTGAGCAAGTCACTCAAATTTTCTCAAAGGGTTGGTGTGAACACAAAATGAGAGGAAGGCTCTGAATAGGTATCAGTGATTTTTTCTGCCCCCACGGGGCCTATACCAGTTTTTCACAGCGGACTCACCTGCCCAGGACATTAAGGGGGAGGAGAAAGGATTAGGGCAGGGAGGTATGTAGAGGAGGTCAGGGGGCCTAGCGGGGGCAGTATGCACTTGCTATGCTCAGTCTCAAGTGTGAAGGGTTGAGTGACCAGGTCCCAGAGCCTGGCTCCCTGCCACCTCCAGGAGTCAACCCTGGCCAGGAGCTTCGGAAGCAGAATGAGGGACAAACAACTGTGGCCGGGCCTGATGCGACTCCCCACGCATGGGACACTAGCTGTGGGAGCAGCATCCAGGCCACTGAAGGAAACTGGTCCCTGTGCCACCATGTGCCTCTTTCCTAGTATGGAAAAGCATTTCCCTCATTCTCTTGACTCTTTAAACTGCCTCTGCTCCATTTCCGCCCACACTCTCAGCTAAAGACCTTGCCTTCCAGTCCCCTGAAATAAAGAAGCAATCAAAAAGGAACTCCCTCCCTTGCTCCCACGTTCACGGCCTGCCTTGTCTGTGCTCCCTGCCTTCCCTCCCGGGAGATAAGAGGAAGCGCCTCTACTCAGCCTCTTCTAGTGGCTGTGGCAACACTTCCACTCAGCCTCACCCTCTCCCACATATTCATCTTCCCGTCTGCTGTGTCCTGCCCACCCACCCAGCAAATGTGCCTCAGCTACCCAACCCCAAACAGAAACCCTCTGGTTGCTACCCCTCCACGAGGTGACAAGAGTCACTGCCTCCTCTTCCCCATCCATATGCTGCCTAGCATGCTCCAGGGGGACTCATGATCCGGCTCCTGAGAATGCTGTCGTCCAGATCACCCTGTCTGTGCCAGCCTTATCCTACCCCACCAGTATTCAGCAGTTGATCTCTCCCTCTTTGTTGAACATCGCCTTCTCTTGGTTTCTATGACTGTCCGCTCTCCCTGTCACCTACCTCACTGCCACTTGCTCCTCTGTCTTCTCTGGTCCCCTGTCCTCTGCTGGATTTCTAACTGTTGGGACCTTCTCTTTTCTCCATCTTTGCATTCAATCTGAGTTTGAAGCACCTATAATGCAATAGCTCCTAATACTTCCAGGCACGATCTCTCCCCAGACTCCAGACCCATATGCCCAAGAACCTTTTTGGTATTTCCACTTAGATATCAACTAGGCCTCTCAGCATTCCTAGGTCATTACTAGCAGAATTCTTGGTTTCCTGCACAACTCCTCAACCATAAAGGCCTTTGACTATCCCAGGCACTCACTATCGTGTTATTTTCACTTTCATAGTAGCATTTATTTTACCTAGTTATCTGTCCTCCCTGATTAGAAAGCACCATTACCTATTTCTTTTGCTTAATACTATATGACAGTGTTTGCACAGAGAGTGGCTTAAAAGTTTGTAGATTGACTAAATGATCGAGTCTTTGGCATATGTACTATGCCAAGGTTGTTAACTCCTGAGTAGTAGGAAATATCACATACCTACGGATATAAACATTTTGATTAGACAATCTTACAAGACTGTTTCCTCCATTCATGCACACCTGGTCTTCATTTCTGGTTTCTATCCGATGGAACGGCCTTGTGTTCTGTGTTCACTGCTGCTAGTTTCCATCAAGCTCCCTTTACAATATATGAGCTGAATGGATAAAGAGGACTTAAAAAGCTTAGCTGTCCTTGCCTTTGGACTGTCTGAGAAGGCTCTTTGGTCCTCCTCTCACAGCTACTTTGACGTGTTCCTGGCAATCCCACTCTATCTACACTTGGGGAGTGAAAACTCATTCATACCACAGGGCAGCAGAACAGCCTCAGCTTTGACTTACCCAAGGCCAAGGGCCCAGCAAAAGAAACTCAAGGTGTAGCTATTCCTTTAAAACAGGGGTGGAGGAGAGACAGGTTGGAAGGCATGACAGAGCTGAATAAGACATACAAGTAACAGATGGAGGTAACAAACCTAGGAAAGGAAGTGTCTGGTCTAGGGCCAGGGGTAGGATTCCTTATATTACCACTGAGCACAGGGCAGCCACTTGAATGTGGGAAATGTAGTCCATCCCCGGGGACATCTGGCTTTAGAATAAGCCTATTAAAAGTAAGTGTGGGCCTGGGGGGCTCTAGGACTCCTCTGAAGTTGTTCACCCTTGAACATGTGCTCTCCTAGAATCAGAGTGTATAGGAGGAAAGCAGCTCCTGTATCCCCACCGCCACCAGTATAAACATACGGGTCAGCTCCTCTCCCAGAGGCAGGGGGCTGCCAAGGGCAGAATGACTCAGGACTTCGGCTGTGGAAGAAACAGAACCTCTGGTCACCCTGGGTTGTAGCTGGCAACATTTCCACGTGATTCCTTAGGCCTGACTCCCCCAGGTGGGGAAATCTGACCGGAGACAGAACTGAGAACAGTCCTTAATGAAAACAGGGAAGGTAGATTCTGTGAAGGAAATAGTTCTCATGGCAACAGACTGACCAATAGTGAGCTGGAAGACTCTACAAAATCTCTCAGGCACCACGCACAGACTACATGGAAATGCTAGGAAAGCCACTCTGCGGCACCTTGGTGAGGAGGGAGACGGTGGTTGGCTCTAAGGTCATCTTGTTGCTCCTTCTGTTGCCAGGAAGGGCTCTGTTAGTGCAGAAGAATCAAAATCCCTCCTGGGAAGCTTTGATCCCAAGTCAGGGATTTCAGAGTGGCGAAGGGACATGAACTGCAGCACTGAAACCTAAAAATGTATTTTATTTTGAAGTTGTGCTTTGGATTTTCCCCAATCCAACATCTGTTGAGTGACAGTCTTAGGTTCACACAAAGCATCTCCGAGCATACATACAATATTCCAGTTATCAACACTATTTTAGAGAATATACCATTTTACACAAATGTGACATATAAGTCAGACGCCACAACATTGCAATTCCCTGGAAGATGAAACTTCTCTTCTGCACGGGAAATACATATACACCAGCCCTTCCAGTGCTCTGTTCATCCTGATGCTGGCACCATTGCTCCTCTTCTCCTTGGGGAGAAACCAGGGCGCCCTGAGGAGGTTGGCTGGGACCAGTGTTTCCAGTTTACAGGCTGCTGGCTACGAACTCCTCTATTTTCCAAGTTGGGATGCTGGTAGCCCCACCCCACCTCTCTTCCCCAAAGACTGGCCCTTCAGAGTCTGCACCAGGAAAAGGATCCATGCCCCAAGGGGCAGAGCGGGGCTTTTTGAAGCATCATGCTGGTTTCAGCAAGCGTATCTGAGGAAGACTGGTCTCCCTAGGCCCTGGGTGGCCAGCTCCTTTTGGCTTTGCGGTGTAAAAATCACAGTGTGCAACCTCAATTCCAGTTGATTGTAGTGAGCTCTGCCGAGAAGGACTCTCCTGCTGCCAGTTCCTAGTCCTCTCGACAGGACCATCTCACAGGTGTCAGGAGCACCAGAGATGGGGAAGACAGCTCTGCTCCCAGAGTTGGGTTTAGGAGGTGACCACTCACACACTGTTCAGTTCATGATGCAAATCAGCAGATGGACACTGACCAAGGGGATGGCGAACACAAGCCATGTACAGGTTTGACAGAGAAATAAGGCAGGAACAATAGAACAGGCCCAAAGTGTTGTCATTAAGAAAGCTTTGCTTTTTCTTATAAGGGACTGGGCTGGAGAGAGGGGGAAAGGGCAGGTCTGGGTACCGATTTTGATTGGATGGAACAAAAGGAATGTAAGGTGAACAGATCCTTGGGTATGAAAGCCCCCTGCTGGCTTAAGACCTGTGTAAGCCCAGGTGACAGACAAGAACAGGCCAGTAAACAGCAACAAAAACCAAAGATCAAAGGACTGTGGGTTGCCTCTTCTAGGTTGACTCCCTTGACTAAAGGAGTTCTTCGGTTCTCCCTTCTAGCTCTTGGAACAGTTTCTCTGGTGCTAATTTCTAGTTAGTGACTTCCACAAAGCTCCTTTTTTCCTTCACACAGAAAGAAAAAAATCCTGCCACTTTCCAAAGATCCAACTACCAACTTCCCATGTTGGTCCAAAAATAATCTCTTCTAGGTCAAAGATAAGAAAACTCAGATTTTCCTACCCAAATGGCAACCCAACATCTCTCCTGAATTATAGAAAATAAGGCTAAAGTGAAAACACAGCTTTAAAAGCAGAAAACAGGCTAGGCACAGTGGCTCAAGCCTATAATCCCAGCACTTTGGGAGGCCAAGGCAAGAGGATTGCTTGAGCCCAGAAGTTCAAGACCAGCCTGGGCAATATAGCAAGATCTCATCTCTACAAAAAAAAAATTAGCTGGGTATGGTGGTGTGTGCCTGTAGTCCCAGTTATTCAGAGAGGCTGAGGTGGAAGGATCACCTGAACCCAGGAGGTCGAGGAAATAGAGAGCCATGATTGTGCCACTGTACTCCAGCCTGGACGACTGAATGAGATGAGATTCTGACTCAAAAAAAAAAAAAAAAAAAAAGAAAGAAAGAAAAGAGAAAACATAAAGAAGGGAATGAGTTTCAGCTCTAATTGAAGTTGCTGTCTGAGACCCATGAGCTTGGACTGTGAATGTCTCCAATCCTGGGATAGCAAGATGCTAGGAGAACTGGCACCATGGGAAATTGGAACAGACGAGGCCATCATTTTTGTATTTTGGAGGGAAACAAGAAAAAAAGGCCAAAGAAAGGCCAAAATATTCAGCATCCAATTATTAATTTTCTTTAGATTCCAGCCTTAGAAGACTTTAGAGCTTGTAGGGTCAAGGTTTCCTTAATTGTTCTTGTTCGAAGAAATGGAAACTGGTTTTAAGGGGCAATTTCTCTTTAATTTAACTAAGCCTCTTCAAGCCCCATTTGGTCCCTGAAGAGACCTTGTAAAACAACCAAACTAGGGGGTAAACTTATAAGAAGTTTTCATTTGGGAATAGTTTTGGGGTTAGCAAAGCTGAATTTAGTTTTTTTAATAGGATAATTAATTTTATGTTTTAAGTGCAAAAATAGGAGGAGGAAGAAGGACCCATTTCTTACCTTTTTCAAACCTGCCATAAATACAGTAAAACTCTCTTAAGACTCTTTACCCTAAAAGGAACCAGCTATAAAACTGTCTTATACAGGAAAATGTCTTAAATGGAAAATGGTCCATCAGAGACAAAGATAGGAACCCGAGAAATTTTGTCTATACATTCAAGAAAAACTTTAAAAGCTCCTTAATAAGACTGGGGTGTACTTCTAGAGGATGGAGGAGAGCAAGAGCAAACACCAATGACCAATTCACACCAACAGAAAAGACAGAGAGAAAACCCCCAACCCCAAACAGGTTACAGGATTGTTCCATCCTGCGAAATTTCAGGTGATGGAGCGAGACCAAAGGCTAGGTTCTCTGGCCCAGACAGAACAAAGTTTGTAACGGAAACAGAGACCTCTGGTGGCTTCTGTGTGAACTGCCACAATAACTTACAAAGAGACTGGTCTATGACCAGGAGAGGCTACACATGCCAGAGACTAGAAAAAACTGCACGCGCACATGCGTGCGTGTGTGTGTAAAATGAAGAACAGACTATATATGATTCTCTATAATCAGTACCCAAAACAAGATGCCACTGAGAGCTGGATGGCAGTAGCCAGCCATCTGGTCAAGGCATCCCCATGGCCTAAGAGGACTGAGACTTGAGCCCACGTCCTCATGATTTGCCTTGCCAGATTTCACAGTGACCTGATAATGAAAAACTGTCTCTGGCTAACCTACGAACAGTATGTACTGCAGCTGGCTGGATTACAACAACGACTGGGGGAAAGCAGAGGGCAGGGGAAGAAAGGGAGAGGTGATAATGAGGGCTTCATTCTCAGGGTTTTGGGTGATGGGGAGGCTAATTCCTGCAAGAACAACTTAGAATCTAATTTTCAACTGAAGTCCCCAAGCTAGTTAAATAGGAAGATTTTAATAACAGTCAGTCCCTATAGTCCCCTTGTCTAGAACAATTAAATTATATCCCTCAGACAGTACAAGACTTGTCAGTGGACTGTGGGGAAGCTGATGAGTTGACACCAGGGCTAGTGGCATTTGTTTTGGGGAAGACACTGGGCTTGGGCCGTGTGGCTGGTGGTTTGACCGGGGCAGCCATCTTGACAGACTTGACAGGCCGGAAGGCGCAGGCGATGTCCCCAGCAGTACTGGCGCTGCGCTGGAAGGCAGGCTCCGGGTCCTTGAGGAGTTGGGTGTGCAGGGGGCTGGAGGGCTCCGACGTGGGGGCCACCACTGGGGAGGTTTTGAGGGGCTCCAAGGTGTCCAGAACCACGTCAGGGGCGTGCTTGACGCTGCTCTGCCGCTCTAGCTCCCGCAGCTCGTTCAGGGCCGAGTTCATTGTTGCCTCAATATCCTGCAAAACAGGAAAAAGGAGGAGGTGAGGCAGATGAAGGGAGAAGTCCCCAAGGATCCTGCTTCAACAACACAGGCCAAGTCATGAAGAAACCAAGGGGATGTCCAGATTATTGTACTTGGCCAAAATCCTTGAACATATGAATGCTCAGAATGTGGGGAAAGAGGGACAGAGGGATTTTCATCATGAGATTTTTTTTTTCTTCAGAAAGATTGGTTGAGATGTTTCTTAACTAGAGACGTAACTAGGTTTGAGAGATGGATACTGAAATATTTATGGATGAAATGACATAAGCAGTGGGAAGGGAAAGGCAGATGAACTAAGCGTGACCAGGAGTTTAGTCAGGACTACATGGGGATTCATTATCCAATCCAATTTTGGGTAGGTAGAAATTGAAAATAATTTTGGGTAGGTTTGAAATAGTACATAATAAAACAATTTTTAAAAAGTAGTAGATGGGTGTGGTGGCTCACGCCTGGAATTCCAGCACTTTGGGAGGCTGAGGCGGGAGGATTACTTGAATCCAGGAGTTCGAGATCAGCCTGAGCAACATAGTGAGACCCTGTCTCTACCAAAACAGGAACTTTATTCTCTTGGACTTCATCGCCAAAGGTTAAAAGGGTTAGTCCATCCGCCTCAGGGGCTGAGCAAGGCTCAAGGGCCCAGTCCATGGAGACCCCTCAGGACACCTCCCTCTGCCTCTCCTTCCCATTTCATAGGAGTGTCCAACATGAAACCAATTCCTTCTACCCAGCACCACATGAGGGGACCAAAGAGCGACCAGGAGGGGGAGCCAAAGCCCACATAGGTGAATCGCCTGCAAATCAGAGGAACACTCCAGATCTTAGGAAACTGTAGTCCTAGCCCAGGGGCTCAAGGCAGAACCAAGGAACCTTTGTATGCAAGCCAGCTGCCTTCCAGAGAGACCTCCTAGTTCCCCCCTCCCTCTTCACAAACTTGTGTCTGGCACTCCCCAACTACCAAAGGACTCCTAGGGATTAGGCTCCCACTGAAAGATTCCATGCTCAACGCGAAGGCCCCAGGCTAAGGGTTCGTTGTCCTACAGAGCGATTCATGCCTTCTGTTGACAGTTGACTCAATTTCACTCATCCCCGACAGTCTCAAACCGTTAAGATACTCAGGAAGAACTTCACCTCACTTCTCAGTTGTACTCTGCAGCTAGAGTCTGTCCCAGTTGTGTACCTTTTCTAACATTCCTATTAACGCCCCTGCCAAGGAGGGAGCTGGGAGGATTCCCATGGTGCCAGGCAGATTGCAGCCAAGAGCATAAATAGAGGCATAGTATAGAAAGCTAGCAAAGCAAGACATCTCAGGCCTGTAGCTCAACAACGGGCTTGCCAGGTACACCTCCTTAAGCAGAGCACCACAGTTAAGTCAATAAAGACCATGCCCAGCCTCTATCGCCCAGGAAGATGGAGTAAGGAGTGTCTCAACTCGGTTGAAACATAAGAGGGCAACAATGAGCCCTTAGTTCCTACCTGGTCTAATGAAAATTATATAGTTGGGAGAGGCGTCTGAGTGAACTGCTTGGAGTGGCCCCGGTAGTCGGATTTTTAGAGGTGGGGTTCAATCTCTAATATTTCATGGAAAATAGAGAGTCATCAGTGTAGAATATGCACAGAAGGAAGACTCTGTAATCAAGGAGCTCATCTCCACTGCATCTAGAAACTTGGGCTGCAAATCTTTTTGGTACCCGAGCTCTTGGCAGCCGGGGTATTTTGGGGCCTTCAAGACTAGGCACAGGTTGTTGACAGATCATCTACCCACTAGGTACCAGAGATTAGCCTTAGGAAATGGGATGATGGGGATGGGCTGAGCGATATAAAAATGTAGCCAGCACTATTTCTGAGCCTCAACACTTGGGCAGTTTCACTAACATCTACGAGGGTTTTAAGAGCCAAAACTTCAGCTGAATGGACTCAATCAAAATACTTTAATACTGGCTTTAAAAATTACAACAGCCTTGCAAATAGCCAGTATATGAGCAAAACCTCTGAATTCTTTTATTCTGTCTTCAGCTTCTCCTTGGGGAGAGAATGACAGGTAGATTACTGTCCTTTTATTACCTTACCAGGTCTACATATCCCATAGTGAGATTGCACTTAGTATACAATGCACAAAATAGGTCATTCTGCTTCAAGTCCTGTCATGATTAGGATGGTTGCACTAAGTGGTAGTGAGGAGTGTAGACTCATGCTCTTTTTCCAGGAACCCCCAGTTACCTGTGCAATGACCTCAGGGTCCATGGGCCGATGGTTATTGAAGCTTTTCGACCTTCCTGCTGTGGCAGTCTTCCGGATCTGTGGACTGTCCAGTCGATTCTTCAGGGATGAGTGGCGGCTGATAGAGTTGAGGCTCCCGTGCCCACTGACAGAACATTTATCTGGGCCTTCCTTGGGGAGACTCTGGCTCATGATGGGCTGGGAGGATGGGCGGCTGCTAGCCCCCACCCCCAGGGAAGAGGAATCAGTCAGGGAACTGCTCAGCCCATGGCTGTCACTCCGAAATGTTTTCCGGATGCTTCCAGATTCTGGACGCTTCCTTTGCCTTCAATCACAAACAGAAAGGGCACCGTGATCAGGGAGCCCTGGCTCTGAGGAATTTAGAACAAGTGGGAAGGGGCAGATGTTGACACCCAGAGACTTGTGAAGGAGAGAGATACAGAGGATATTCTCTCCTGGGTTTCACCTTCCCTTGCATTCTCCGTGTTTCTACTCCCTTGCTGCCCCCAACCTGGACAAAGGAGAAGTGGATACTTACTTGATGGTCATGGGCTTTGAGTTCTCAAGATGTAAAGTGCTGTCAGGAAAAATGTCTGATTAAGTGAAAGTTCTAATAGGAGACAGATTCATGGAAAGGTCCCTTCATTACCTACTGTAAACAGAAACCTAAGTCCCCAAGTAGCAGAAGTCTTACCATCACCAAGGAACAGGGGAATTGCTGGTAAGAGGAGAGTTAACTTTTCTAAATTTGAGCATGTCTCTTGATCCAACAAGACTGTGGTCATTTTGGACTCTGGCAAGAAGCTACTTTTGTTTATTCTGCAGACACGGAACAGAATAATTCTTAAGCAGCAGCACTGTTGCAGAGTTGGGGCCCAGTTGGTGTATTTTCTTGGTGTGGAAATGCACCTACATGACTCTTAACTCAGCACTGGGCTGAACCCTAGCTCCAGGTCAGACTGCTTAGGGCTCTCATACAAAATGACTTGACAGAATCCTGGTTATATGGGTGTTGCCTCGTGCTGAATAATTTCATTTTCTCTTGGAATTAGATTTTAAAGAACCTAATCTAAGAAATAATGAAACTTCAGATTCAGATGGCAGCTGGACAGCTCTGATCTTGAATCTACTAAAGAAGACTGGGGTTGAGGTAGAAGGAGAGAGGAGGTAGGACTCTGAAGATACAGAGCTGGTTTATGAGGCAGGGTCAGCAATCTAAGCCAGTTCTGGTCCTGCTCCCTGCTGAGGTCTTTCTTATCTTTATATCCCCGTGGCCTGGCCCAGGATCTGGCACGGATCAGCCACTCCATGAATCTGCCCGCTTGGCAGTTTTAGCCTTGTGAGCCAGCCCTTCTCAAGTGGAAAAAGGATGTTCTCAGAGTCATATAAGGCCCTGCTGAAATGACCCCTCCTCTGCAAAGATTTCCCTGGCACCACCAACTACAGCTGCAGACAGAATTAATCCCTCCCTCCTCTGTTTGCTCAGGGCATCTATGACGCTACTTTTTAGTTACCTGTCCCTAGGTTCTTTACCTTGACAGACTGTGAACTCGTCAACTACCACATCTTCTTCTTCTTTTTTTTTTTTTTCTGAGTTGGAGTCTCACTCTGTCGCCCAGACTGGAGTGCAGTGGCACGCTCCCAACCACCGCAGCCTCGACCTGCTGGGCTCCGGCGATCCTTCTGCCTCAGCCTTCCAAGTAGCTGGAACTACAGGCGCGCGCTACCACACCCAGCTAATTTTTTGATTTATTGTAGAGATGAAGTCTCGCCAAGTTGCCCAGGCGGGTCTCGAACCCACAGGCTCAGGCAATCCACTCACCTCAGCTGCCCAAAGCGCGGGATTACAGGCTGAGCCACCGAGTCTGGCTTACCACATCTTCTTTATCTCTGAATTACAAGCATCAGTGCATGGCACAACAATAGATACTTAATACATGTGTAGAATTAAATTGCAATGCCACACCCTAATAGCCCTTTGCTGATTTCCTTTTTCCACTTGAGGATGGTTGACTTACAAGTTTACAACTGCTGAGGAGGCAGATTTATGGAGCGGCTGCCGTGTGCCACATCCCAGGGCAGGCCCTGGGGATGCGAAGAAGAGGAAGACAGAGTTCCTGGGTCCAAGGAGCTTAGTCTGGTGGGGGACCTGAATGCAGTGTGTGGACCAAAAGGTCCTTCAAGTGCTTTGGGAATACAACATTTGGGCACCTAACAGCCCTAGGGAACTCAAGGGTGTCAGAAAGACTTCCCCAAAGAGGTAAATCTTTGGACTGCATCTTGAAAGGAGAGGAGGAGTTGGCCAGATGAGGAGATTCTGAAGCCCTGGAGGTGAAAGAACCCAGGCTCTTGGGAAACTGAAGGAGCTTGGGAGGAATGGTGGGGAGGGCAGGAGGTGAGGCTGAAAGGTCAACTCACTCCTAAGGACCAGACATGCCCAGGGGCTGCCGCTCACCCACCAACCACTTGATTATCTGGGCAGGCCCTGGTAAAACAGAGGCTTGTCCCCCAAGAACCCCATTACAAGAATCCTGATACCACCAAGCAAGGGGTTTGTGCAAACTGCCTTAACTTTCTACCAGATGTTCATCTTTTGACTATTTTTGCTATTATCCTCTACAATTTCTTTGTACAAATCGCATCAAATATATGATGGCTTAAAATATGTACTTAACTAATTACCTAACTCTTCCTCCACCAATCCCGCCTCGGTTTCCGGGTTAATTATAGGCTTACGACTTTATGATTGTAGGCTTATAATTAACACACACTTGTAAATAAGGGAAAAAAATATGATTAGCCCACAGTTACTTTATCCTAGCTTGCCCTCCCAGCAGGGCAATATGCTGGAGGGAAATATAAAATCCTCAACTTTTTTACCAGTCTGAATTGAATTATAACTACACTGAGTAAGGGATCTGAATAGTTGGCTTTACTAACTTGAGGGTGAAAGAGATGGAAAAGAGCCACGTGCCCCAACCACTCCCCCAGCTACCGTCTGGTTGGAAAAAAGCCAAGAGATCTGGGAAACCTGGTACAGTTTAAAAACAACAAGCATCTTTTATTCTCCTTCCAGTCTCAGTGTCCAGAGGCTATGGTTAACAGGTTTTCAAAGTGCAAATCATTTCATTCCTCCAAAGCCAGAGGGGAATAAAAACTGTACATCATCTCCAATCCATATTCATCAGGAGCGCCCTGGGGCTTGTCATCCTGCAGGCACGGGGCCAAGTTTCAGGGTCTGGTGGAAAGAGGTCTGTAGGCTTTGGGACTTGGTGTCTGGCCCCTTGAGATGAGATTAGTTCTCCAATAACCTGAATGCCTCTTGGGGAGGCAGCAGCACGCAGGCGTGGAATCCCTCTAGACAGCCAGATCGGGCGTGGGTGGAGTGAAAACCCCAGGATGTTGCTAACAGCCACAATGAAAGCTGGGGGTCAGAGCTAAGAGCCTGCTGGACAAGAGTGGGAATCTGCAGAGGGACTAAGAGGGAAGTATAAAACACATGGCTAAAGCAATAGGACAAAAATGGAAAATTGTTTCTCCTGGTGGGAAAGGGCAGAAGAAAGGGGAGCTAAGGGTTAGGCAGTGAGTAAAGAGCTCAGGACAAAGCTTTCCGTAGGGACACAGTGATCTCCTTTTCTCCACGTGAATGCAGGACACATGATATCTAAATAAACCCACCTAGGGTTACATAAGCCTAGTAGAAGACACATACAGGACTTTCAATCTTTGCACAGACAAGGGTCAAGAAAGACAGACATAAAAGACTATTATTTGAGCATGAACTGTAAAAAAGGAGGCACCTCTGAGAAAGAGTACAAATCCAAGTTGCAAAAGTGACCAAAGCCATTGGCCAAAGTTTTAGCCACAAGATTGCCAGGAAGGTCTGGGCTGACAGATGCTGGGGAAGCACACAGTAGAACACCCTTCCATAGCACGAGGACAGCTGGCTGGAGACCTGGAACTGCCCCAAGGCCTTCAGAAGCTTCCTCAGCCCTGTCCGCCTTGCAGCAGCAATGAACACATGCAAACTGTTAGGCTGGTGGAGCTGGGAGTCCTACGTGCAGCACAGGAATGGAGATGCGGGTTAGGCCACAGGGTGAGGCTGGGTGTTGCAAGTCATTCAGGGGAGCAGAAAATGAAAAGCAGAGCTTACTTGTTGATGTTTGCAAGATAAATATCGGCTACATGACCCCCACTGGGACAGCTGGCCCCCGCTCTGGCTGTCACCTTTTCTTCAGGTGGCTCAGAAATGACCTCAATCTCAGACTTGGGGCTGGACCTCTCCACGACACCGTCCTCGCTGGGGGAGAAGGGGCAGGCAGGCAGGGAGGAGGGAAAACAACAACAACACAAAAAGCAGTGTTAAATCGGCAAGATGGCCCCCCGACACACACGCGACCTACACAGCTCCAAGGCAGCAGCAACACCTGGCTGGGCTAGCTCTGTGAGCAGAGACAAGGAAACCTATGGGCCTTGGGAGGACTGTGTAAATAAAAATAAATAATCCGCTGAGTTCTGCGAGCTCCTCAGCTCCTCAGGCAAGCTTGGCTAGGGACACCTGGATTCGGGGCATCTGCCTTCTACCCCACGCTGCTTTCCCGGGGCGGCCGTGCTGGGGCCACCTCCCGGAGGAGGAGGCGGCAAGTCCAGGTTGTAGTTTATCTGCTGAGGTCCTGAGTACTGTCGGGTAAGGACAGTCAGCTCTGTGGTGGCTCTGGAGATGCTGGCGTCGAGGCAGCACACCGCCACACTCTGTCGTAGCGCCTCTAGCCCCGCTTAGAGCGTCCAAGCTGGTCCCAGGTCTCTCCACTGCTCTCCTGGCCCCTCTGGCTACTGATGACAAAGCCCCTTCTCCCCCACAATTCATCTTCTCTTGATCCTGTCGTGAAGTCATAATGCTAAATTTGGGAGGGTCCTGTCCACGCACAGATTTGCCACCAGGTTTGCGATGCTATCAACAGAGGGAGGATTTCCCTGCAGAACGAGCCGGGGAGAGGCTGGGAGGGTGCAGACTCATTCAGGATATCAACCTTCAAAAAATAATATTAAGGGAAGGACTAAAAACACTGACAGCATCGTACCCGAGGGAGGGGGTTGGGAGCAGAGGCAGGGCAAAGGGATGGGGAGGCAGGCTTGGATGGGCCCAGGGGACACTGCATCAAAGTGGGGGAACCAACTGACAGCCCACCTGATGAGACCTCTCTGGAACCAGTCTGAGTTCCCTTTGTTCCCTAGTACTTTTTTCTCTCCTTTCCCCCATTTTGCCCCAAATCTACCTCATCTGAGTTAAATGAACTAGGTGACTTCCATAAGGCTGCTTATGTCAGATTTCTCCCAGAAAAGTAATTGGTCACTGTCATTTCCAAAAGGAAAAGTGCCATCAGCAGCTCAACACGTTGGGGTGAGCATAGTTGTTTTAAAAAAAGAGACAGAGGAGACTGGGTGCGGTAGCTCATGCCTGTAATCCCAGCACTTTGGGAGGCTGAGGCTGGAGAATCACTTGAGCCCAGGAATTTGAGACCAGTCTAGGCAACATGGCAAGACCTTGTCTCCACAAAAAGCAAAAAATAACAGCCAGGTGTAGCGGTGCGCACCTGTAATCCCAGCTACTTGGGGAGGCTGAAGCAGAAGGATCACCTGAAGGCGGCAGGCAGAAGGATCACCTGAAGGAGGTCAAGGCTATAGTGACTTGTGATTGTGCCACTGCATTCCAGTCTGAATGACAGAGTGAGAACCCGACTCCAAAAAAAAAAAGGAGCAAAAAAAATGTTTGCCCAGCCTGATCTTTCCAGAAAGGAAATGTGAGTGGTCAAATGAAAATCCCTTATTATCACTCTTTGGGTATAAATGTGGATGAGTGTTGGCTGGCAGGTCTCTAAAACAACTGAGTCAGGCAGTAAAATGCAGGCAGCACAGATAGTGGAGAAATTTTAAAAATTCTCCAGGGAATCAGGGGCAGGGGAAGGGGCATGACTTCAAAGAACTGTGTGAGCCTCAGGACAGGCCCCTGGGGGTTGGTCTCCCTCATATTCCTATGGTTCCAAAAATGAAGTCTCACTCCTACAGTGCAATCAGGGACCACCCCCAAAGGTGCCAGGGGCCCAACGTACGTGTCTTGGACCACAATGTACTGATGGGGGATGAGTCCGTCGATGCCATTGTGCCGGCCTTCCCACCAGTCGTCAGAAGCCCGCTGGTAAAGCAGCAGAGATGCCCCCTTCTTGAAGGACAGCTCTCGGGCTGTCCGTCCCACGTAGTCAAACTTGGCAATGGCCTCAATGGGCTCACATTCTGAGAAGGGTAGAAAAGAAGGAAACACATGTTCTTGGGACCTGCAGATTCAGGAAACTGGGTGGACAAGCCCAATTAGCTAAATTTTACAGTGGTGAGAAGATAACTTAGTGTGAAAAGTAAGCCATGGATGATCTATATTAGACTATTAATTCCCATGTAGACCGTGCGTGCCATTAACCCTGAAAGCACTGGTATACTCTTCTTTGCCTTTGCTCAGGTGTTCCCTTTGCTCATGCTGTTCTTCCACCTGAAATCTCCTTCACTCTCATCTGCCTGATGAAACACATCAAGACACACTCAAGCATCCCTTGCTTTCTACAGTTACTTTAGTATTTCTATAGCTGTTTATGCTGCTCCCATCATCAAACTTGGCATACTGTATTTTTAAACATTATTTATTTTCTGATTATATATTAACTTCATTAGTTATAGAAAATTTATCATACTGTATTTTGAAAGAGTTACTTTTGCTGTCCATTTCCCCTGATAGATCATGAGCTTTTAGTCTCTATAAAGAGAAAATAACTGCCCCATCAACTTTCCAAGAAGCAAAATATGAAAATGTATTTTGTGACCAATATATGAAAAAATGTGTTCGAAACTAATTCAAAAAAATCAAAGGGGTTTACAAATGCAATGTATTTTTAGTTTTGTGTGGGTTTCTGTCTCTTCGTCTGAAAAATGGAGATAATAATAGTGCCTTTCTCATAAAGTTGTTAAGAAGAGTCTATGAATTACAACTTGTGAAAGTACTTAGAACAGTGCCTGAGTCACAGTAAGTAGTATGTGTGCATAAATTATTATTGTTATTATTATCTTCTTCTATTCTAGGCTGCAGGTAGAGATCAGAGAGCTTTAAAAAGAAGGCTCCCAGAAACCTGGAACCCAAGATGAAAGTCAGCTATTCTGGGCAGTGGAGAGAAAGGCTGTTTAAAAATAAGACCATGCTTAGACAGCCCTGGCTGGTGGTTTTGCTCTTGAAGAGGCGGGTCTGGAGATTTCATTGTAGGAGGCTGATCAGAAAAGGCCTGTCTAAATAGCCGAGTGTCAATTCTCTATAGCCTTGGGTACGTTACTTGACCTCTCTGACCTCTATTTTCTCAACTATAAAATAGTGGCCATATCTATTTCACTAGGGATTAAGAGATAACATATATAAACCCTCTAACAGTGCCGGTCACGAGGTAGGCGCTAACCCAGTACACATCCCTCTAGTTCATCTACTCTACTCCCCTCCTATAAAATGGCAAACGATCACACTGATCCTTCTGCCATCAGGATCTAAATAGAGCAGCCCTAATTTTTTTCTCCTTTAAAAGCTGGTCCAGGATTGCAGAATTCTCAGCAAGGCAGGGAGCAGGGAAAGCTCCGCAGACTGTGCCATTTCATTCTCGTGCCCAGAAAATTCTGAGGCCCCTTGTCAGCTGCTGAGATTTTCAGAGCCCACGAGATCCAGAAATGGAGGTATGGAACTTTTGGAAGGGGGAGAAATATGCTGGCTGGACAGACCCTAATAAATCATGGGCACTGCAAAGGGGCCCAAGGATGACAGCTGAGCATTCCACCCCTGATGTACGCCCACCAGGCTGCTCGGCACTCTCATGTCTGTACTTTGGAAGGGTCAATTTTTCCAGTCGGCAGGCGTGAAAGTATGTGGTTTCTGCATCCTCATTCCCACTCCCCCCTGGCTTGCTTCTACTGGGTTCTGGACACCCAGTTTCTCTATTCCCCAGGCTGTTTTTCAAATGAGTTTTCTTTTCCTTTGGTCTCTAGCTACCTGGCAGGAGTCTGGGCTATGATGAGGGGCTGACATCATACTGGACCCAGGCCAGAGAAGGATCTAGCTGCTGGGGCAAGAAGGTCGAAGGGCTATGAAAGGTCTAGTTCTTCACCTCTGGTTTAATACAGAGACAGTTCTATTTGAAAGTGTCTCTCCAAGGAAGGGAGGGAATGAAAGAAGAAACATGAGAGCTCCCTGCCTGTCCTCATGGGACTGCTGGGCAGGAAAGTTCCTTAGGCCCACAGGATTTATAGTCACTTCCTTGTGCTACCCCCCACCCCACCCCAGCGGCTCCACCAACCAGGAGGCAGGGTCTCTTACCATCATCACTTGTGTGGTGCTCTGTGGTCACATCCTGGGTTGAATCTTCAGCCGAGGTAGTCTCTCCATGAGGGCTATCACTGCAACAGAAGCAAGAGTGACTGGGACATCAGCGTTGGTTTACAAAATTCTTGTCTTCCCCTTCATACAGCCTCCTTGGAGCAAGGGCATTCAGTTGATCTTATGCTCTCTATTCCCTAGTTACACCCAACAGACACATGCTTGTAATGAAATATAAGGCTGCAGAGGCTCTCCGATCTAGCTCCTGCTACAAAACTGACTTGCAACTACTTGGGACTTAGACTATCTCAAGGCAAAGGGAAGTCCTTCTGAAGTTATACAATACATTCTTTAGAACATACAGAACAACTCAACTCCTCAAGGGCTGATTCCCTAGATGAATTCGTTCCCAGTTCTCAAGGAGGGATCATGGTGGAAGGGAAACATGGGCTTTCGTATCAGATACAACTGGATCCGAAAACCAGCCCTGACACTTAGCAGCTCTGTGACCCTGGGCAAGTTACTTAATCACTTTAAGCCTCAACTACCTCATCTATAAATTGAGGATAATAATCTGTGTACCTCACAGAGTTATGTCAGGATTTAATAAAATAATTTAGAAACAAGTTAGACACAGAGAAGGTGCTTCAGAAGTGGTACTTCCTTCCTTTCTTTCTCATTTTGCTTGATGCCTCCAGGTTGCTTTGTGGTTTAGAGTGCGTATTGGTGAGAAAGTGGGAGGTGAGTCATGGGAGTGGGTGAGAAACAAAACTAGGTGATGAAGAATCTGATGTGTGATAGACTCTGTAAGAGGGCAGGGGACGGAAGCCAGGTCAAGTTTTGGAAACAATCCATGGAATCTAAGGGTAGAGAATTGAGATTGGCCAGGGAAGTTACTAGGAAAGTCATTTCTGCTCCTGATCTCCTGGCTCACGGACTTCAGAGTTCATGAAGATGGGCACCAGGAAGTTCTTGTTTCTTGAAAAGTGGAGTTTCTCTGTTCATTTCTAAAGTTTTTCCTCCACAGTAGATAGTAACAAATAAGACTTTCCAGGCAGTTCTGTGAAAGCACCACCACCCGCTCAACCGCATAGTGTGGCCACACAGTCTCCACCTTTCAGTCCTACAGCCTCTCCCTCCCCCTGGGATGAGTCCTACACTCCTGTTAAGTTCCTCAGAGACTAGGTGACCAGTTCAGAACCCACCCCATGTGGAGCCAGTCAGTTCCAAGGAAGCTTCCATTCTGGAAGACAGTCTAGGAGAATATCAACAGGGATTTCTCTTTGTCAAAAAATGTAGGCACAATCTCTCACTGTTATCTTGGCCTAAGAATCCTATGATGAGTTTGGTGAAGTTCTGGAAACCCTCAGGGCCCCCAGGGCTGTAGAAGGGCAAGGGCAAACTTTTCCCCAGGGATTCAAGATTCTTTTTGTTTTTTGAGTTGGAGTTTCACTCTGTCACCCATACTGGAATGCAGCGGCACGCTCCCAGCCACCGCAGCCTCAACCTGCTGGGCTCCGGCAATCCTTCCGCCTCAGCCTTCCAAGCAGCTGGAACTACAGGCGTGCGCTACCACATCCGGCTAGTTTTTGATTTATTGTAGAGATGAGGTCTCGCCAGGTTGCCCGGGCGACTCCCGAACCCCCCGGGCTCAGACAATCCTCTCACCTTGGCCTCCCAAAGTGCTAGGATTACAGGTTGAGCCACAGCGCCCAGCCTCAAGATTCTTTACATGGCTATCCAATAAGGCAACAGTTCCAAACTTCAGGGGACCCTGGAAGGCTTGTTAAAAAAAAGATTGCCCTTTCTTGTAAGATGAGAAAGGAAGAAAAAGAAGAAGAAAAAAAAAGACTGTCCTACCCCCAGAATTTCTGAGTCACTAGGTCTGGGTGGTGCTAGATAACTTGCTTTTTTATCAGTCCCATGTGACATAGTTGCTGTTGGTCCAGGGACCCCACTTTGAAAACCACAGTTTTATGGTAAAAGGCAAAATGAGGCTTTATAAGGTCACTTCTAGCCCTAAAATCCTATGCTTCTTTCACTACATTCCCTCATCCCTAGCAATACTCCCCAGGCCCACCAACACCTGATATCGTAGAAGAAGCCCACCATGCACTCAGCAGGTGATTTCAGAAAACTGGTTTTTAGTTTCCGAAGTGTAAGTGTGGTGAAATGGACTTGTCTCTCCTTTCCACTGCTATGAGTAGGCCAAGTGGCCCAGTACTCCCCCTTCCCTGGCTACTTTTGTCTCCACCATTCTCTAGACTTCTTAGGGGTCTACCTCCCTGTCTGCTTGCTCACCTCCTTCATTGCCTGAGCTCACAGTGCTGGCAATTCTCTTTCTTTCAAAGAAGGGAGAGGCAAGTCCAGGAGACTTCCAGGTAGGTATGAATCCAGTGTTCAGAAAATCCTTTGCAACACAAAGTCACCAACTCCTGCTCCTTGGGTGCTTGCAGCCTCCCAGCTAGTCTGTGGTAATGTTCCCTGACTAATCTTGTGCTTCTTCCAGAGGATGCTAACGAATGCTGGGTGCACACAAAGTGGGGTTGGGGAGAATACCTTGGAGAAAACTAGACGAAGTTGTCCACCTGTCCATGCCCCCATAAGTCAAACCCCTTCAGGGCTCTGTCTGCTCCACTGGGATGGGACTCAGGGGCAAGATCCAGAGGCTGCAGTGGGTTAATATTTGAGAAGTTCCGGGTGCAGTGATTCATGCCTGTAATCCCAGCACTTTGGGAGACAGAGGTGAGAGGATTACCTGAGCCTGGGGTTTGAGGACAACTTGATGAGACACCGTCTCTACAATAAGTAAGTAAGCAAGTAAATAAATAAATAAATAGCCAGGCGTGGTGGTTGGAGTCTATGGTTCCAGCTATTTGGAAGGCTGAGGGTGAAAAATCACCTGAGCCCAGCAAGTTGAGACTGTGGTGGTCCTGAGCATGCCACTGCACTCCAGCCTGGGCAACAGAATGAGACTCTGACTCTAAATAAATAAATAAAAAGCATTTGAGAAGTGACAACAGACATTCTCCCTGACTTTAGAAAGAAGGTAAAGCAAGAATTGGGAACACTATTTTATAGCTTTTCACCACTCATGCAAGGGGGAAAACCAACTTTCTAAGTCAGGTACACATGGACAGCTCTGTGGAGCTCATCATCCAGTAGGCTGAGACCTGAACTCACCAACAATCTCTCCTCAGTCACCACCAACCATCTGTCAATAACAAAAAGCCCTCTCTCCCAGCTAGTCAGCATAGGTACCTCTAGTTTGGACCCATGTGCTGAAATCCTCTGTGTACAGCAGAGAAGGGTGAACCCAGGGATGCCATTGGTATCATTATGCTCACAAATACACAAACGTCACTTTACTCACTCCTTGGGCAAGAGACTAGTCTGTGGGGGTCAGGGAGAAGTGTGGACCAATTGGCCTCTAATTAAGTAAACAACCTCCCCTGTCTTCCCCTAGCTCAGTGGATAGCATTGGGGATGGCTGAATTGGTTCCAGATGTTGAACTCAGAAGGAATCTGATTTGGGCTGGCTTGTACTTTCAGCTCAGGCTGAAACACTGTTCAGGGGGAGAAGGAAGGGGGAGTAGGAAGGGGAGGTAAGGGATATTAGGGATTAAAAGAGAGAGGCAGTTTTCTTTGTGTTTAGTGGAAAAATGGCACTGTAAATGGTATCATGGTGGGCAGTGTGGGGTAATGGATGGTGTTCTGTACTAAGAGACAAGAGATGGGGGTTGAATCCCTACCACTGGGGTGGCCTAAAACACTGTCACTGGTCTCTCTGGGCTGCAGCGAATTCATCTGTAAAATGGAAATCATGATTTGTCTATCGAAGAGTGAAGATATATCCCAGGGATTCCTTTGTGATCTGTTCCCAGGTTAGGTCATGGAAATCCTTGCCCCATACAATCTAATCCTGCTTCAGGGTGGAACTCTGGCTAACCTGCTGAACATGGAGCTTACCCTTTTCTCTTCACAAATTTCTAAAGTCCCTTAAAAGCAACATCTTACAAATTCACAAGTGGGAAATTATGCTTCATATCTAAACTCTTTCCAAGAAGAATGGAGTTCCCTGGGACCCAGGACTGTTTGTCTCACAAAACATAACAGAGTAAAGCATGAAGACAATGTTGACTGATAAAGAATAGTCCTACAAGCAAGTTTGTAAAAAATCCTTTTTTGAAGATTATTAGAATTACTATTAATGGACCATTCAGAACTCACAAAAAAGGGAAGTGTCATTTATTCTGTAGGGAGGGCTGAAGTGGGGGACTGCCTATACCACCCCCAAACTCTGGCAGCCTGCAGGGTCTGGAGTGGGAGGCTGGGAAGATCTGGGTGTTTCCCTTTGGTTTTTGTTTGGCCATCTGGCCCCAATGCCAGTGTGCGCTGGTGACTCCCTCCCCTCCTCCACCCCCAAGCCCCCCTACCAGTAATCCTCCATGCTTCCTCCTCTGCTGTAGACAGGGCCCTCCAGCTCCCTGGGGCTTGGGAAGATGTTCTCATGCTGGATGATGATGGTTTTGATCAGCTCATTCACGTGGGCTTGGCAGGACACCTGGTCGTGGCCCTCCGGCACTGACATCAGCGAGGGCCCGAAGCAGATGGCGAGGTTGTAGGGGTCCATCATGTTCTCTTCACTGAACTGTGATAAACTGGAGGAGAAGGGAAAGGGGGCAAGCTGGAAAGCTCCCGCATGAATGCCCAGAAAACACAATCACAGGAGGCACTGCCAAGAGCAAAAGCAGAAGGTCCACAAATTACCACCTGCCTCTCTGGGAGTCAGAGGCCTTCCAGAAAGTCAGCTGGGAAGAAAGGAGTGACCACCAGGCTGGTCATTCAGGAGCCAAGGACAGCGAGTTGGAGGGACCTGGTTGTAGGTCTGAGCCTCCCCTCCCCTCCAGCTCCCCATTCAAATCCTTGTTACCACCCCATCTTTACCCCTACCCTAGACCGTATCCACCAAAGCCATCCTGCCTTGAGAACATCCACTCTGCAGAGCTGAATATGGCTCCCACAGACCAACACACTAAGCTGCCATAGCAGTCAGGAACCCTCAGGCTGCCCTGGTAATAATGGTCAGAAGGCACAGGCATTGTTCATAGTGTACCTTCTTGTACAACAAAATAATCAAATTTTTAGGGATATTCTATTCCAGCTTCTAGATTTATTTTTTAAAAATAGCCAACCGATTAGCTTCCGTATTCCATCAAGCCAGTGAATTTCTTTCTGGAACAGCTAATGCAACTGTTTTGCATTTTCATAATATCCTCTTATATTATTACATTCAAGATTTGTTCAGGACAAGACCAGCATGCGGTTCAGCTTCTGCTCGAGCTTCCTCTGGATGCAGGCTGACTTTATGCTCGGGTATTTATTTATTCTGGGAACTTCCTCTTCTCAGTCAGCAGCTGTTCTAGCCACAACTCCAAACTTGGCCAGGGACCCAAGGCCTTCAATGAGCCACTGCGCCTGATGAGTCCTACGGGGCCTCCCCTGTCCAGGCATTGAGTGCTGGGACAGCTCTGGGTATACCCCACACACAGCCTGTAGAGCTGAGCTCTGCTCAGGAGTTCAGCCTCCCTTATGGGCATCAGCAGGAAGGTACCAACACCCTCTGACAGATGCAGAGAAGAAACTAAAGTCTTCCAATGGGGAACAATAGCCTGGATCTCAGCTGTCTCCATCTGAGAAGTGAGCAGAGTTTACTACTAGTGTACCCACAACCAGACTCACATTACAAAACTGCTTTCTCTCCAACCCAATGGCTCTCTTCCCTCCTGGAGATTCTCCTATGTATCCCCTGCCCCTGTGAGAATCTCTGCAGGACATGAGAAGTGATACTGTAGATGTAATAATTGTTAGGGGAGGGAAGAGTTGAGAATCACTGTTCTTCAGGACCTAGAATCAAAGGTAGGAGAGGCCAGTGATGGGGAAGGTTATAGATCTCAGTGGACTGCTTCACAGGAATTCTTAAAATTTTATTTATTTTATAATCCTTCCCTATATCCTGAGCTAAAAGGGAGCAGAGATTTAGAAAGGGGAAGTTTCTAAATTGCCTTCTTGGTCAAATTAAAACTAGAGAGAGACAGGAGAAATAACTACCTTGGTAACTTCACAGGTACAACTGAGGCATGGGATGCCAACAAAGCTAAAGTTGTAGCTAATCTCAGGCTGGCCAGTTCCTGGTATCATGGAGGGACAAGGAGGAGGAAGGTCCTATTTCTTTAGTGTGATCTGACAATGTTTTAGTACCATGAAAGAAAACCAGGAGTCTAGACGTTAAAGGGAAGCCAGCCCTGAGAGTCCCAAGTCAAAGCTCTGTGAAAGAGAAGAAATTCTGTGAAGTCCACTGAGGTAAGGATTGTTTAATTCATAGGTAGCTACAATGACCAGGGGCTTAAGAGGACAAGTCTTCATGGACTGTGGTCTCATGAATCTAGGTCCATTTTCTTATGCTCATCAAAATACAGAGCAAGATCCTTTTCTCTTTTCAAATGTACAGTGGGAACACCTAAGTTTAGGACTAGAGCAGCTGTTCTTAACTATTTGGGGGACAGAGCCCCCTTAAAAAATTTGATAAGAACTTGGGATTCTCTCCCTAGGAAAATCATATACACACACAAACAAATGCACACAATTTTGTGTAAAATGTCCTGGTATTAATAATCTTTGAAGTCCCTGAAAGTTGTGCCTAGTGTAAGACTGCAAACACTGAATTTTTATTCTTTTTTTTTTTTTTTTGAGTTGGAGTCTCACTCTGTCACCCAGACTGGAGTGCAGTGGACACTCCCGACCACCGCAGTCTTGACCTGCTGGGCTCCGGCGATCCTTCAGCCTCAGCCTTCCAAGTAGCAGGAATTACAGGTGTGCACTACCACACCCGGCTAATTGTTTTATTTATTGTAGAGATGAGGTCTCACCAAGTTGCCCAGGCGGGTCTCAAACCCGCGGGCTCAGGTCATCCACTCACCTCAGCCTCCCAAGGCACGGGATTACAGGCTGAGCCACCGAGCCCGGCTGAATTTTTATTCTTAAAGAAATATCTAAAATGGTAACGTTTAGATACTGGTAACAACTCTCTGCTTTAAAATTTATTTTTGGTGTTGACTTATATTCATGCCATCTCCTCTATGAGTCCCACTATAATTCTATAGTTTCAGTTCACAGCATTAGTGAATTCTCCGAATTGATTTGAATTTATCTTTTGTGTATTTTTAAAAGGTTCAGCACTGTGATTAGGAACAGAGGCTTTTTGCGGGGAGGGTAATGAGACAATCAGGACTGGTATGGGAAATTTTCTTTTCATCATGCACTTTTCTGGATTTTTCTACTTACTAATGATGTGCATTGTCTCTCAAGAGGCCCTGAGTTGAGCTGCACTTGAATTGCCAACCCACGGAAACTGTGAGATATTAGTTCTTTTGAATCCTTAAGACTGAGGATGTTTCTGATCCAAAATCAGACCACAATCAGAAATAAAGTACACACACACCCAGGACCCAGAGCAATGAAGGACCCACTTGGCAACCATCACTACTCCTGTAGGTAAGTGCATATTTGTCAGCTGCTGTCTCCCATGGAGGTGGTCTTCTTTATTGGCTGTGTCCTGCATGCTATTTATTACTCCAGGAAACACTATGATTATTAATGCTGCATCTTTTCAATGTAATACTTTGATGAGCAAACCAATCTTTTTTCATCAGAAAAAAAAAAAAAGAAAAAACCAAAACGAATAATTTGAATTGATGCAATTCCCACATTTTCTTCAACAGGGCCATCATCTCCAGCTCTACATAAAGCTTATCTATGTTTAGCCCATTGTATCTTCACACACAGTCTTCCCAGGCCTTCCTGCTCCCACCTACCTGTTTGTCATGCTCCTTGCTCTGAGGGGACAGAGAAGGTTCCTGTTGAGGGCAGGAACTGTAGATGAGGGGACACAATGACTGGTCGCCCTGAGGAGACTGACTAATGGGAGAGTGATAGCAGAGTATCTAGGCTGCATGAGAACACTCTCTTCATCGGGGATTTTTAACCCAAAGGCAGTTGTGGAGCTGAGTCAGGACCTGGCTAATGAATGGAGCAGACAAAGCCACGTGGAGAAGTCAAGTTGGGGAGCAAGGACCCTCTGTAGCTCTGCAGGATTAGCAGTGGGGCTACATGATGGTATGAGTGATCCAGGAAAGGCCTCAGGCCAGGGCTGCTGACCTAGATGCCTGTAGGGCCAGACCAACCATGAATTTGTATGCAAGCTGAAGCTTGTGAAACGGTCTCTAAAGTTGTATTCCTCTTAGGCAGAGACTAACCTAGTTGGAAGGCTTCATTTTCACAATGAAATCTGTGCTAAAACACCTTGGTTACCTTTTGTTCCCCCCACCCCGCCACCTTTTGATAGATTCACAGATCCAGAGAAATGTTTTTCCACTATAGGAAAAACCACAAAGCTAGACTGATGATAAATGGCAACTGAATTCAGCCTCGGTACTGGGGAGTAATGGGAAAAGCTGGTGACTGTGGTGAACTGGGGGACAGCCCTTATTCCATAGGGAATTTCTGTCGCGTGGGAATACAGATGCAGTACTGACAGATCTAAACATTTTTCAAAATAACTAGATCACAGAAACAAAGAACTGAGTACCGCATGTTCTCACTCATAAGTGGACCCTGAACCATAATACTATAAGAAAGGCATTGGGAGTAGCAGGATATCACCAGGGGAGAGAGGGAGAGGACATACAATAAGGGTACCTGATCTCAAACCAGGTGAAGTGGGGACCAACTTGAGGCCCAAACTTTACCTGTACGATGACCGCTTATATACCTGAATTGTACCTGAATTGTAATCCTGAATTGTACCCCACATCTTTAAAATAAAAGAAACAAAAAGAAACAAAAAATAAAAAAACAAAAGAATCAGAAATCTAGGATTTAAAAAAGTGAAATTCCCCAATATTTAAATACTGTTTTAATGTTTTCCAGACACAATAGCCATTTAAAGTAAATGCATCTGCCCTCAGGGTGCCTGTTTATGACCTTTGGCCTAGAGACCCCAAGGGAGAAGCTGTAGAGAAAGTAAAGACAGAAGTACCCAAGAGGGAAGTAGCCCATGTCTTTGCTTGTTGCCTTTACTGCCATGTGGGGACCCCAAAGCTTGTCCCATACATGGATATACTACTTGGATAAGAAGAAATGCCTCATTCAAGCACACAGTCCCTCTGGTTCCCAGATCTTTCTTCCAGTCACATTCATTCCCTGGGTGAACCTCACACTGGTATCTCCACTCCAGGTTTCACCTGAGTGTTGGATTCCTGTGTTCAACTGCTCAAATCTTCACTTGGATGTCTAACAGGTACCTCAAATTACCTTGCCCACATTGGCACCTTGTCTTGATTCCTTCCTCACACCCTGTCTTCCCTAACTCCATAAATGATTTCACTATTTCCTAGTTGTTCATGCCAAAAATGTAGGACTACTCTCTTTCCTCATATTCTAAGTCTAACCTATCAGCAAGTTCTATCAATGCTATGTTCAAAATACCATCCCAAACCTGATCCCTCCTAAGCCACCAATACCACTGGCCAGACCATACAGTGACCTCAGTATAGGTCTCTTTCCTTCTCTTCATGACCCTCTCCAGATGGCAGGTTTTTATAAAATACACAAATCAAATCATAACATTCTTCTTAAAATCTTCTATAGCTTCCTATAGCTTCTCTAACCCAATCCCATCATATTCCACGACTCTTGGGTCATGAATGTCTCTGTGACTCCTTTTTTCACTTCCTTTAGCCTGCTCTACTGTCTTCTCAGAGAACCTTTGCTGTCCACCCCATCTACAGTGACTCTCTCTCCTTTCACCTTTCCTTATCCTTCTTTCTTTTTCTTCTAAGGATTTATTCCACCTGACAAATCTGTTATTGTCTGTCTCTTCCCCTAGAACATGCACTGAATGATATCAAGGCTTTAATCTCTTCTTTAACAATGTATTCTTACAGTCTAGCATTGTGACCAGCGCACACTAAGTGCTCCATAAATATCTGTTAGGATGGATGAACAGACATAGGTCCATATGGGAACTTCCAGTAGCCAAAGCCAAGGCCTGATCTAGCTGTTCACTGGGAAAGCTACTCACTGATTGAGGAAGGCAAAGAGGTATCTCATGATAATCAGAGTGGTTTTGGGCAGGACCAGGAGGACTTTCCGGATGTGCAGAGCTCTCTCCTGCAAGTTGTCCATTGCTGAAAGAAGAAAGCCATGTGTTAACCTCCACTGTGACTGGGATTGCAGGGAGTAATGATCAGAAGTTTTGACCACCAGCAGGATCAACACAGAGAGTGTCAGATCATGCTCACTAATGCACAGTGACAGGAGTTTCATCCCTATTGCTCCTTGGGGTGAGGCTGCTGGAAGAGGGCGCTTGCTGGGCTCCATACATTTACCAGTGCAGGACATAAAGTGCATACTCCTTGGGCACAGGAGGCGTTGGAGATGGTCCCCACAGCATCTACCACCCTATTATACAAACAACCAGTGAAGGAGCTCTCCATAAACCTGCTGTGACTGCTCAATGCCCAGCCTTAGAGCGCCTACATCCAGAGAGGAAGAGAGGCTGTGCAGGTCTTGTCCTGCCCACTCTACATGTGTCACCTCATCCTCTGCACAATTCTGGCTTATCTTCCCCCTCCCTTATCTGCAGTAGGGATGAGTAGAACAAGGCAGACAGGCAGCCTCTGGGTAAGTGGTGATATCGGGAAGAATACCAGCAAGGTTTCTTGCACTTTGGACAGGTTAGTTATAGGTCAGGCTATAGGCCTGTGGTCCCCATCATGGGTAGCCTCCCACCTCCACAGTGTAGATGTTATATTCTCTGAGTGCCTTTATGTGAGAAAGAAATGGGAAGTACTGATTAGGAGGAAGAGTGTACTCTAGGGAAGAACTGGGCAACGAAAGGATCTTGAACTGTCTTTGGCAACCCTGTTCAGCTTAAGAGACTTCACCTAGGCTCACCATGACGTCATGACCCAAGGGGATCATACACTTAATCACCCATGTAATTCATTTTCACTAGACTCTTACAAATAGGATGTCAATACACAAACCAAGAGAGCTAGCTTCCTGAATGCTCTGGGCATTTCTTTCTCAGAATAACTGAGAAAGGGACAAGTGCTTAGGGCAGATACTGAGTTGAACTAGAAATTCAGGGGGTATGAAGACCCTAGTTGACTGGGAAGAGGGATCTTTTCTCTGTTTCAAAGATACCATTCCCTCCAGCCTCTGGAGCCATAATTCATATGGTGTCTGCTTTCAGAAATACCTGTTATTTATCCAAGTTTCCACTGATTGTTTTCCATGAAAAACAAATGAGAGGGTATTCCAGTATCACAAGCTAAATGAAATGGTTAGGAATAGCTTTTCAAGACCCAAATTTTAGAGTAAGAGGCAGAGAACCCCTAAAAGAGTAAAGTATAGAATATATCTGCCTCTTTGGGAAAATATTATATTACTACTTTTAAATGTACAGAGACTTTTGTTCCCATAAGAATCCATATTAATACATCTAGCAGGTTAAGCCGTGTCATGTTTAAAGCAACAAAGCAGGAAATATTTGTAACACTTAGCTTTTCCCCCTTGTATCATGAAAAGCACAAGCATATATAAACTTCAAATACATAATTGAAAATGTCTGGATCTTATGTGTGAATATAAAAGTATGTTACTAAGGGAAGATAAAACCCAGAGAAGCAAAAGTGTTTAAGACTGAAGTGAATCGGAAAATAAAAAACCCAGGAGTCCTGACTTGGGAGGCCTAGACTCTTACAGAAAAGTCATTTCTCTTCCTCTCCAACCAGGGAATAAAGAAGTAAGGGTAAGGAGGTGAAACTTTACTGGGGAAAAGGAAAACATAACTGAAAACATTATGAAAAAACATAGACCCTGTGGAAATCTTTTTATCTCTTGCTACCAACTGCTCTGTACAGAAGCCAGCCTGAAACAAGGATGGTACTTACTGACGCAGGCCATCAGGTCATGAAAGATGTCCTTGGGGAAGAGAGGGTGTTCCAGCCCCCGGAAGTAAAGCTTCAGGACACCAGCTATGGAGTCCATGTCATGATCATTTTGGTCCCCCGCCAAAGGGTCCTCTCCTGAGGATAAGAAAGTCCCCCAAAAAGGAAAGAGAATGAGAAGCAAAACACACAGGATGAAACAGATGTAGTGGGGAAGGGTTGAGCTATTTATGTCCTTGTCCCAGTTCATCAGCTCTCTGCCCAGCATGGTGGCCGTGAGTGGGGCAGAACAGGGAATAGATAAAGTCAAGACTGTTCAGTTTCAGGGACCCCAGGACCAGAGGAGGGCAGAAGAATCCATTAGCATAAACTCTCTCGTGCCAGCCTATGGGCTGGGGTTGGGACGCAACAACTGCCTTTCTCCCAAGAATCATGAAACCAGGCTGGAACTGAGGCCCTAGGGGAGGAAAATGAGGCCAAGGAGGCCAGCTCCTCAGATGAGCTCTCACTCCTCCTGACCTGCATCTAAGAACACCTACTTACAGGAGAACAATCATGCTGGAGCTCCCTATGGAAAATTTCATATCAGCTGTAATTAGATTTAATGATAGGACCAACCTCAAATTGAAACTATATATATCCATTACAGTGACGGAAATTGCCAAAGCTTGCCCATTACCTTAATAGCCCACAAGATAATAAATGGGCTACAATGAACAAGCGCATTAGCCTTGATATTAACTGCCACCAAGGATTCCAGATGAAGCCATAAACCACCCAGATATCGTAGTTAACTTCTTGGGTTTTGGCAGATCATCAACATGAGAGAGGCAAGATGGGTGGGGCCAAGAAGACAGGAGGGAGCTGGGATGTACCCTGGCATCTCCCTACATATCTGGAAATGGGGGGTGTATGCAGGAGAACAGGTGCCCCCTGAAGAGAGAGGCAAGCTGGTTTCCTAGCCCTGGGGACTTCTCAGGGGAGAAAGAGTGGAGCCAATACCCTTAAGGGGCTGGCAAACATTTGGTCTTATCTTCAAGGCTGTTTCCTCACCTCTCTCAAAGGCATTTTTGATGTCATTCACTTCCACCTGGGATCCCGACACGCGGAAAATTCCTTCATGCTGTAGTCCTGGAAACACACAGAGGAAAGCGGTCAAGGGGAAGAAAAGGCAAATTCATAATAAAAGTGCCAAGTTTAGTTGAATTCCTGTCTCTCCTGACCAGTGTGTATTTAAGCACCCTGTGTCTCTTCTTCAGACCAAAGGAGAAAAACATGCACAAGGATGTTGGAGAAATAGCCTAAAGAAAGCACTGAATGACAGACTCCTTTTGACTCCAAGGATGACTATAAGCCAGGTTCCTTCCCTTGTCTTTGCTTCTCTGTTCCCACCTGTAAAATGGGGAAATGATCAGTCAACAGACTATATTGCCAGACGCTGTGCTAGGCCCTGGTCCCTGACTACAGCTTTACTCTAAAGACAAACATACATGAATGTTATACTACAACAATGTACACAAAAACTTTGCCCTCTTGGATTTTGTTAGAGTAGAAAGAGTCATGAAAAACAATGCTGGTATAGTGATTACTGTTAATAAATGCTTCGATACAAGGAAATCACTTGGACCTCACAACAAGGTAACGGTTAGCAGCAATCCAATTTTCTGGATGAAGGGATTGTACTCAGTCTTCAACACCAGGTTTGTGGGGCCTATGAGAATACAAATGCAAAGAAAATGGGAACCATATTGGCCATTGTGAGCATGGACATATCTTACAGACAGCACCGTACGTGCAACTGCAAAATTGATGAGAAATCCAGGAAGTACATCATTAGTGCCAAGTACAGAGTTTGGACTGAACTAGCATCTCTAATCACATCAGGACCATTCAGCCCTTCTCAGGTTCCTTGACTCTCAATCTTGGGCATTTTGTCAAAATCCCTCTGTGATGGCACAGTCCTTCAAAAACTTTGACATGTCCAAGGAATCTCAAATTTATTTCAGGAAAACAAAATAGACTAATACTACATTTTGCCCACTGTTTCAGGGTTACCCTCTCAGGGAGGGGGCAGCTGGATTCTATCAGCTAGATCTCTGGCAGTAAAGCATACAGGCCACGACTGAAATGCTGAATCCAACTAAAACAACATTAAGAAGTAAGCAGAGGAAATATAATTACCTGGCTTGTAATAAGACTTAAGTTGTCTGCTCCTCTAAGGGAATTTCCAGAAAATTCCTCACAGAGTGGCAGGCAATGTTAAAACCCCATTAATACCAGTGTAACATGCTGTATTAGTAACCAATGGGATGTAAAAGCCAGATAATGCTGTTTAAATACAGAATGTAAACACCAAGTGCTCTGACAGAAACAGCCACATACCCAGGGATTTGTCAAAAACACAGTAAAAGGAAATCAGATCTCAGAGATCAAGGTGCTCACTATGTTCAAGTTGGTGATGTCACTACACAACTTCCTGAGAGAGGGCCATCTCAGTACTTTTTGGAAGGTGAGAACACCAAAGAAAGGCAGCCTTGATCCATAGCCCCGAAAGAGAAGGAATGAGAGAAGAGCTCACTGGAAATCAGGCAGCAGGCCTGAAACATGCTGAGCTCTCTTGGTCTGGTTTGTTTCCCCTTGAGCACCTATATTTTAAAAGGACCACTATGGAAGGGCTTGGTGGCTCAGCCTGTAATCCTGCACCTTTGGGAGGCTAAGGTGAGTGGATTGCCTGAACCTGCGGGTTCGAGACCTGCCTGGGCAACTTGGCAAGACCTCATCTCTACAATAAATCAAAACTCAGCCGGGCGTGGTAGCGTGCGCCTGTAATTCCAGCTACTCGGAAGGCTGAGGTGGAAGGATCGCCGGAGCGCAGTGGGTCGAGGCTGCGGTGGCCGGGAGCGGCCACTGCACTCCAGTCTGGGCGACAGAGTGAAACTCCAACTCAATAAATAAATAAATAAAAGGACCACTATGTGTTCTTGCTCAACAGATAGGTTCTTTAGATTCTGGAAGTAGGAACTTTATAAGTGGTTGATTTCTAGAAAGTAAAGGGAAAAACCAGTTGCCTTTTTATTATAATGCAGGTAAATCCTTGTACAAGCAAAGTGATACATCCATGACCCTTTAAACTTTTTCTTAGTGCACACTAACATGAAAGCATAAAACCCACCGACTTGGATATGTTATTTGGAAATGGCACAAAACCCGCCATTTTGCTCTGGATGTGGCCATTGTCAACAGTTGCTCTTTCAGGGAATTCCTGAAATGATTGCTACAATAGCCACCTCATGCTCAAATTACTTTGCTCCATTCCTCATGAAAATGGCATGTTTTTTTCATTATGATTAAGTTTCAATTGTTCCTCACATCCTTTCTTCTTCTTTAAGTCTTTCTGGATCACCCTCACATACCATTTAGCTTTCTCATCTAAACAATAGGGACTATAATATCTATCTCCCAATGGATTTCAGGATAGTGAGGATGTGAAGATTCCCAGCATCTGGTGGGTCATAGACTCTTTTGAGACTGAAAAAATTATGGATCCTATCCCCATTAATACATACACATGAACATTTCAACCATAGCTTTATAGGAAGTTCAGGAATACCTCAAGACCTTATTTGGTCTTAGCTAAATTCAGTTTAGTTAAACAGATGTTTTTTTGAGCAGATACTGTGTGATAAGTTTTTAAAAAAAATCAACAACATGTTTATCTGGTTAATCATAAAGTACACATAAAATGGTTTCAGAATTGTGAACCCATATCCTGGTGATGAAAAAATTATTAACTGCTGTACAATATTTGTTTAGAGTTCTTTTTCTTTAGACTTACCTTATATCATTAAGATACTGTTTTCCCCAAAGTTACTTAGGTTAGTTATTGTCTTCCTCTTTCCTCTTCAATGTGATGAGATGTTTTTCATTTGTAATAGTTAGGCTTATTTGTTACTGTTTGTATTCCATGTTGGATTTTACCCACATCTTGGCTTTATTTGTTTATTCTTCTTTTGAGATAGGAAACATTCATGTAGTTTTAAAAATCAAAACTACATAAAGAGATGCTAAGAGAAATGCCCCTTTTCCATCTCCCATTGTCCCATTCTTTCACCCCTTTCCCATCTATCCCCTGTATCCAATCAAATATTAGTTTCTAGATTCATCCTTCCTGTATTTTGTTTTGCAAAAATGAGAAGATACACATATATTCTTATAGTCTCTTCTTTCTCACATGATAGGTAACAAAATATGAAAGAGTATCTCTATAGGTGGTCCCTGACTTATGACTTTTTGAGTTTTAATTCTTTTAAGAATTTTTTCTCAGGCTAATGATACATGATGCAGGTCACCCAGTCTAGAGCACCATCATGTCTTCCTTGTGCTACTGCAGTAGCTTCCTGTTTCCTCCTTACAGTTATCTCCACACAGCAGCTAGGGATCCTTTAAAAAGATGACTCTCTGTTCAAAATTCTCCAGTAGCTTCTCATCTCACTCAGAATAAAATCCAAACACCTCCTTAGCCCACCTGCTACCACTCTCCTCTTCACTCACTCTGCTTCAGCCACACTGGCCCCTGCAGGCTGCTCCTTGCATATAGCAAGGGTCTCTTCCCAAGAATACCAGATATACACATGGCTTACTCCTTCATACCTCTGCTTAAATGTCACCTTCTAAGGAGAGGCCTTTTCTCTGAACCTGCCTAGAACAGTGTCCGCTCTCCATTCTCCATCCCCTTACCTTGCTTGACTTTTCCTCATGACAATCACCACCACCCAACATATTGTATTTATTATATGATCAGCCGATCATTTGCTTATCCATCCTTCAGTGATGTGTGAGGGTAGAAACTTTTTATTGGCAAACAATAAGCAATTGACATATTTGCTGAATGGATGAATGGATAAATTAGTGAATGAATGCATGATGAGTGAACAGCGGTTCAGACCTTCTTCCTATTGTCTTTTAGGCACAAAGAATTCTTCCTCCCCTGAGGATAAGTTTGGACTTATCTTTGCCAAATGCTATTAATCATTACTATCTTGTGAAATTTCTTATACTGCTATTCTGATTTACCACAGCTTATCTCTTCTTATTTAACTTATCACTTGCTTACTTATTTTCTTCCAAGTGCACCATAAGCCACTTAAAGATAGGAAGAGTGTATTATTATTCCTATTTCTGTCTTCTTACTTGGCAATGCATGGTGCCAGCACAGATCAGGCACTTGATAAATATTTGTTGACTGTTTAATAGTGATATATAATGCTGTTACTTCAAGTAAATAAGAATATGATTTTTAAATTATAGTTGATTAGAATGAGATAAGTTGTAAGCATGCTAAAATAATTACTATTCCAAAAATGAACTCAAACAATGTCCCAGTTTACCAGGAGAGAAAAACATGAGGGAAGAGAAACAGATTGGCTGCCTCTGAATTTAGACAAGCACTATTTTACACACTCCCTTAGCTCCAGGAAGGTCATTCTGCCCCTTTCCCTATCACCAGACAGGCCAGTATCTAAAAACAATTTCTGATGCCTGGTTCTTGGGAATCTTTATAGTACTAGTCCTTTCTAAACACTCTTACACTTGGAAAACCAATTCTCTGGCAATTATCTCCATCTCTAAATTCTGTCCAACCAGATCAGAAGCTGGTGAGGAATGGAGTTTATGAGATTCAGTTTTGTCCAAATAGAAGACAGTGTGATTTGTCTTGGATTGAGAAGGAGCTAGTCCCTGCAGATTCTCAAAAGTTGGATACAACTTCAAGACCAGTTACTAACTGAGCTCCTACGGACCTTGTATCCAGTGAGATCAAATCAGAACAAAATTGAATTTTCTTAGGAATCAGTACAACAGTAGGAAAAGAGTTGTTTTCAAACCAGTCTAGTACAGAAAGCCAATGTGACAAAATGGTCAGGCTATATAGTGGGAGATGTCCCTACATGCAAAGACTGTGAGTAATGGTGAAACCACTGCCACCACGTAATAACAGCTGTACTTACTCACATAACAGCTGCAATTTAAAACCCACCCTCAAGCTAGAAAAAATCGTGTGTGGTAAGTGGTTGAGGAATTTGGGGTCATAATATATGATGTCTTCCTTTCAATGTCTAGGTGTGACCAATCTGAGATAGTAAATGCTATGAGAACAGATAAGAATGTATTCCTTTTCAGAGAATGTCAGGATGGGAAGTCAATCTCTGTTCTTACTCTGCGAAGAATTCCTGGAAGTTCTTCTCAGTTACTGCACAAATATGGGCAAGGCTGTATGTAATCCTGCTTACCGTGTCTGCTGATAAACCGGATACAGCTTTCTACCACCAGAGGAATTGCCTGGCTAGAATCCTGAAAAGTCAAAGAGAAATACAGCATTAGAATTTTCAAACAGGGATAGCCCACGGTCAGAGAAATTGGGTCAAACTGTGTGGAATTGTCTCAGTGGATCAGTGACTGGTCCACAAAGCTCCACCTGGTATGCCCTTCAAGTTCCAGAACACAAACACAACCACCTTCGTGGCATGCCCCACAGAAGCCTTAAATTTCAGAATGTCCTAAATGGAACACATCATCTTCCTTACCCCAAACCAGCTACTCACTCTCTTACTCCCACCCCTGCTCAGCCATCCAATCAATCAATACATTCTGTGGAGTCTGCCTCCTATATATCCTCTCTCAAGTTCATGCACTTTTCTCCAAATCAACTGCCATCAACCTTGTTCAATCCACCAATACCTCAATTCCCACCCTTGCCATCTTCCAATCCACTTTCCTCTTGCTTCACAACAGTGATTAGGTGATTTTGAAAGTTGTACATCTCAGCCGGGCTCGGTGGCTCAGCCTGTAATCCTGCGCCTTGGGAGGCTGAGGTGAGTGGATTGCCTGAGCCTGCAGGTTCGAGACCCGCCTGGGCAACTTGGTGAGACCTCATCTCTACAATAAATCAAAAAATTAGCTGGGCGTGGTAGTGCGCGCCTGTAGTTCCAGCTACTTGGAAGGCTGAGGTGGAAGGATCGCCGGAGCCCAGCAGGTTGAGGTTGCGGTGGCCAGGAGCGGCCACTGCACTCCAGTCTGGGCGACAGAGTGAGACTCTAACTCAAAAAAACAAAACAAAAAAAGGAAGTTGTACATCTCATCATTTAAACTCTTTCAAAGACTTCTCATTACTCTCTTCCCATATCCTTGTATGTCTGGAATCCTGTCTTTCCCTCAAGTTTCATCACATGTTCTTCCCCCTAGTTTCTGCTACAGTCACAATGGCTGCCTTTCTCCTTCAATAAGTCTTCCTTTGCCTTATGGCTTGGCATGAGCTGCTTCTGTTACTGGCATGCTCTCCTCACCCCTGATTGTGACTCAAATGTGTGGGTATTTGTTGGCACTTGTCACCACTACCTCCCAAGCTCTCCTATGTCAATTCCAGGGTGTCCAGGTCTGACCATGACACCCTCGCATAGCAGATGCTTGATTAATACTGGTTGAGGGTAGTAGAATGAACCAACAGGAGTTTTAGAGAGTTTGTTTGGCACAAAGTAAGAAAGAAAAGACAAATCAATTCTTGGAAATAGTGGAGACTAACTGGTACTAAGCAAAGAAGCAGGCCTTCCAGATGTCAATCTTTACTTTGCCATTTTGCTGCAGAATCCTGCTTATGTTATTGAACTTCTTTGTATCTCAATTTGCCATCAAACTGGGGGATGGAACTGGTTGTGAGAAGAGTAATATATCCTACTGGCACATGAACATTAGTGCCCACTATTATCTGAGGAATTTAAAGAGGTGTTGGGCCAGGTACTAAGTCCTTTAGATTGATTGGTTCTGGTGACAACACTATGGAATATGTATGTATGCATTACTATTATATTCATTTGACAAATAAGGATAAGAAGGCTTACTGAGGTTAAATAGCTGTTATAGTTACATAGCTGATAAGTGGCAAACCCAAGAAGTTTCCCTCTAAGACTGAATACTTTACCACTATATACACTGCATCCTAGGAGTTCAGTAAACCTCACCAGTGTACATACAAAGAATTACTCAAAACCAGTAGGGTTTCATAATGCAGCTAAATGCACAATAATTCAGCTGTGTGGAAGAAAAAGATCAGGCAGAGGGGCCTGAAACCTAACTAGAAAGGCCTTTAGACGTTCAAGACAGAGACTGGACTTTCAAGTGGGATGGGTCCGTGTGGCTTCTGCCCATTTCACAGGTTTGCCTGTGCCTCTCCCCTGGCTGTGAATTTCCCACTGTAGCCAGGGTTTGGCGACTCATAGGGAAGCAGCTGGGTCTCATGAAGAAGTAAGGCTGACAGAAGAGCTGGCTTAGCCCCTAGCTCCTAAGCTCTCCGGGAACCAGGGATGCTGCCAAAGGGAGTACTGCATGTGCCAAGGTAGAGCTGGAATCAGGAAGGTCTCAACGACCCAAATGCTCATCTTTGTGACCCCCAAACCCATCTGCTTCCTTCAGCTTTCCAGCTACAGCAGCCAGTGTCTGTTCTCTTGTCAGCATCACTGACTTTTGCCAGTCAGGGATGATTTTAGAGAAAGAATCTTTGTCCTTTCTTCCCTTAAGCTAATGAAGAAACTGGATTCCACTATAAGACAAAAAAAGGCTCCATTTTGGGGAAGTCTTTATGTTTACAGACTTCTGTTATTACATTTTCCATTTATAAATAGTAGCAGCAGAAGAATGAAACTAGACCTGTGTCACTCACCATGTACAAAAATCAAACCAAAATTTTTGAAGAATGAGTTCCATGTAAGACCTGAAACTATAAAACTAATAAAAGAAAACAATGGGGCAATGCTTCAGGACACTGGTCTGGGCAAAGATTTTTTAGGTAAAACCTTAAAAATGCAGGCAACCAAAACAAAAATAGACGAATGGGATTAAATCAAACTAAAAACCTTCTGTACAAGAAAGGAAACAATCAACAGAGTGAAGAGACAACTTACAGAATGGGAGAAAATATATGCAAACTATCCTTACGACAAGGGATTAATGACCAGAATATATAAGGAACTCAAGCAACTCCATAACAAAGGAATAAACAATATGATTTTAAAATGAGCAATTAATCTGAATAGATATTTCTCAAAAGAAGACATACAAATGGTTAACAGTTATATAAAAAAATGTTCAACATCACTAATCATGGGAAATGTAAATTTTAAAAAAAACCACAATGTGGTATCATTTAGCCCCAGTTAAGATGGGCTATTACCAAAAAGTCAAAAAATAACAAATACTCGTGAGGAAGCAGAAAAAAGAGAATGCTTGTACACTGTTGGTGAGAACAGCCACTACACAAACAGTAGGGAGGCTCCTCAAAAAACTAAAATTAGGCAGAGCCTGGTGACTTACATCTGTAGTCCCAACACTTTAGGAGGCAGAGGCAGAAGGATCACTTGAACCGGGTGTTCAAGACCAGCCCGGGCAACATAGCAAGACCTTGTCTCTACAAAAAATTAAAAACAACAACAACAACAACAGAAACCCTAGCAGGACATGGTGACATGTACCTGTAGTACCAGCTACTCAGGAGGCTGAGGTGGAAGGATCACCTGAGCCCAGGAGATCAAGGCTGCAGTGAGCCGTGATTGTGTCACTGAACTCCAGCCTAGGCAACAGAGCGAGACTCTGCTCAAAAAACAAACAAACAAAAAACCTAAAATAGATCTACCATATGATCCAGCAATCCTGCTGCTGGGTATAAATAAAAAAGAAAGAAGATCAGTAAGTCAAAGAGATATTGAGATATCAAGATGCCTGTACTCCCATGTTTATTGCAGCACTATTCCCAACAGCTGAGATATGGAAGCAACTGGTGTTCATCAACAGATGAACGGATACAGAAAATGCGGTATACATACACAGTGGAATATTATTCAGTCATAAAAAAGAATAAAATTTTGAAATCTGCAGCAACATGGAGGAACTGGAGGACATCATGTTTAATAAAATAATCCAGGTGCAGAAAGACAAGTATCGCATGTTCTCACTTATAAATGCGAGCTAAAAAAATTGATATCATGAATGAAGAGAATAGAATGATAGTTACCATGGCTGGGAAGACTAGAGGGAAGTGGGAGATGAAGTGAGGTTGCTTAATGGGTACAAAAATACGGTTAGTTATAAGGAATAAGTTCTACTGTTCTATAGCACAGTAAGGTAACAATAGCAAACAATAAATTATTGTGTATTTCAAAATAGCTAGAAGATTAGATTTGGAATGTTCCCAACATCAAAAAATGATAAAATATTTGAGATGACAGATATCCTAATTAGCCTAATGTGATCATTACACATTATGTACATGTATCAAAATACCATATGTACCTCATAAATATGTGCAATTATTACATTATTGGTTAAAAAAATTTTTTTAAATAGTAGCAGCAGTGATAATGAGTGTTCATAAAGTTTTACTCATCTGAGATTTATATATAAAGACCCAGAGGAAGGAAAGTTGGCTTCCACAAGTTATGTGAGTGCAAAATTCTGCCTGGATGTGCAGGAAATGGAATGTTAATGGTAGTTAAATGTAAGTACAAAGAGTTGATAGGAAACAGGGCATCAAAGACAGCAACCTGAATGTCCATGGTTACCAGCAGCACTCAGAAATTTTCCTGATGGATAATCTATGGCAGACAAGGGTGGCCAGAGATGACCTGTCCTGCAGAAGAGCATTTTCCTGGTCCCCACTGCTCCAATGGAGTTTAAAATAGAGTCCAGTGGAAACACAAAACAGACACAATCACAAAGGTTTTGAACACTGCCAAACTCCCCTCTCCTTGTAATGCTTCTGAGCTATGAGTGAATTCATTTCCCCAGATGTACCTGTGTGCTCTGGTGGTGCCCCCAAAGACTCGCACTTCATGACTGCCTTTGTATACAGCTGACTGAGTAGTTTCTAAATGTGCTCTTATTCACTGTTTCTGCCTTTCTCTTTCTCTGTTTCCCCAATGTTTAGAATCCATGTCAGTTTAATATGTTTATATACTATATGTTTGGCCATATAATCTCAAGTTTGGAAGGGGCTTTTGAGGACAATCAGGTCAAACTCCTATCCAATCAGATTAAGGAAACTTTAAACCAAAAGTAGAGGGAAAAGGGTAGGGCCTAACTTGAAAAGGACAGTGAAGCACTGGTCCAGTGATTTGCAGGAGAAAACAATCACAAAGGTGGACAGATAATGTCTAAATATGCATTGTTTGGCAAATTTCTTATGAGTAAAAGGGTTAGGATTTTTGTTGGGTAATGGCCCCTATTATATTGTCAATTTCCATTTTCATCAAGGGAGAAAATACAATAATAAGTGATTAGATGTGGGTATTGAGAAAAAAGGCATAAAAGATAAGATTTGGGGCCTCGGGGACTGTGAAGAATGGAAAGCCCTCATGAACACAAATAGAGAAGTGAGGAGAGGAGCTAAGGAAATCAAAATGTGATGATGCGGAAGGTGAAGAGATTGATGCTGAGCATAGACGGTGTTATCTCAACTTTCAAGCATAAATGTCCAGTCAATCACTGAGGAGCTAAAGCCAAAGACTCAGAAAGACAGCATTATAGAACAAAAGGATGCTTAGGGAAGGAGAGAAAGATTCATCTAAGGGAACAAGACTGACAAGGGAAAGGACAGAGTCTTGGAGATATGCCTAGTTTTAAATAAATGGAGAAAGAAAGACTAGCAAAGAAGACATGGAAGTCATGACCGAGAGAGATAATTGGTCTTGCAGGGAGCAGGGAGCGTCTAGAAGCAGCAGCAGAAGTGTTACCTTTTTCAAAAAGGTCTGAGATGGTTTGGACCTAGTCATTGCCAGGGTCAAAAATGACTAAACTCCATTAGGGAGTGTCAAAAAAAAAAGATACTGGATTCTTCCTCTGGTTTGCCATAAATGAACAAACATTTCCTGGTTACTTATACAAGATTACTCACTTTCCAAATTACTATTTTACCTTCTTGACCATCTTAGAAAAACTTTTTGCTGACCTACTAATAGATATCAATTTCTGGAGAGGAACTGGGATAGCAGAATGAAAACAAGGATTATATTTGCTTGGGCTTCTTGGTACATCCTGGAACTCTTACGCAAACCTAGTGCTAGGTAAATACACTTTGCATGCAACTGCTTAGGTGCGGCAGGATGCAAACCAGATGGGTGCCATTCTCCTCCAATGGTGAATCCAACCAAGGGTACATATCACCTGCCAAACTGTGGTCTCTGGCACTCCTGCAGTCAGAGTGGAGGCTGCAAAGGCCTTGCACATATACTCCGTCTACAAGCAAGAGGCCCAGTTTCAGTCCAGGAGCTGAAATGAACAAACTTCAAGTTCATTTCTTTCATTAGTATTAAAGGAAAAAAGGCTTGCTCCCTCTGCAAGATATCTACCTATTAATTTTAAAAGCAATAAATTATCCCTGGAAGGCACCCCATTCCTCTCTCAGTTTAAATAGAATTACGGGAGAAAGAGAAGATGAAAGAAATAGAGGAACAAGAGGAAGGAAAGTTATAATGAAATTTTTATAATTTAAAAAATGTGTAATTGTATCTGATGGCGTTCCCATTAGGATGAGATCCAAAGTAGAAAAGGGAAAAGATAGTGACAGCAAAGCCAAGACAAGTGAGACATATCATCCAAGCTTCCCAGTTGATGCACCCACCCAGAGCAGTCAGACGAGCTGAAGAGACGCTGGGGCTGCCGACACCACAGAAACCATGCACCCTCTACATTCGATTATCTCCCTGTGGCTAGAGCCACTGAGAATTACCCAAAATGATTTTTTTAAAGCCTGGATTAGTTTTCCCCTGAGCAGACACAAAGATATTTCTGAGCTCTCTCCACCCCTCCCTGCTACTGCATAGCTGGTATCAGCTTAGGAGACACAAAATCATTTCAGTATTTGCCATAAAGTATAATTAGGAAGTCAAATTTGCTACTGCAAAAAATACTTCAATTAACTTTTTTTTAAACAAGCACAAGTGCTGTTTAGATTATCCACTGATGTGGATTATCCATGCCACTGCTCTTTAAGATCCCTCCTAATATGGGTAATGAGAGCTGGCTGCCCAGTGGCAGATTTTAATATTAATACAACATTGAAGATCATGCACAGAATTGCAGAGTTGAATAGCTCTTGCCTATCATTCCTAGACCAGACTTAATCTTTATACTGTTAGCATGTTTTAGGAACACATCTTGAATGACTATACCACCAGGAACAATCAAACAAAATCTGCAAGCTTAAAGTGAGATTGTCTGGTCTAGGTAATTAGCTGCTGTGAGTTACTGATATATTAGTACGTATGTAGGAAGTGTCAGGCCTCTTTTGTGGTCTCTTGGAAAAGGATGCTGATATACTTTGGATTGTTGGCCCCTCCAAATCTCATGCTGAAATGTAATGCCCAATGTTGGAGATGGGACTTTAGTGGGAGGTATCTAAGTCATGAGGTTTGGTGCCATTCCTGAGGTAATGAATGAGCTCTCTTTCTCTATTAGTTCACTTGAGAGTTGGTAGTTTAAAAAAGCCTGGCACTTCCCCCTCTTTTGCTTCTACTTGCACCATGTGACACATCTACTCCCTCACTGCCTTCTGCCATGACTGTAAGCTTCCTGAGGCTCACCAGAAGCCCAGCAGATGCCAGCATCATGCAGAACCATGAGCCAGAAGAATCCTCTTGTCTTTGTAAATCACCCAGCCTTGGGTATTTCTTTATAGCAATGCAAAACGGACTGCTACAGAAACCATGGGCATTTCTGGAAGAATCTGCCCCAATACTAGGGAGTATGCATGAGAATAAATCACTAGATAGAAGAGAAACAAGTCAAAAAGACTATGGCCACTCTAAAGTTAAATCAATGAAGTTGCCATAATAATAAACATACTATAACTAAATGGTACATTCCAAATGTAGGCATGACATCAGAAAAGTGCCTGTCCTGCCCACAGTGGAGTCCCATAAATGTCTGTGGGGTGTAGTATATTTTCATGTCAAAGCAGCCTGGTTCTTGTTGGGCCCTTACCTGTTTCCTCACGGTGGAGCTACGCCTGTTATCCCACCAAATCAGAGGGGACGGATCCAGCAACAGGGAGGCAAAAGAGAAAATCATGAAAAATGAGACGAACAACCACTTTCAAACTCAGAAGTTTTTGATAATTAAAAACAACCCATGTAGTGGTTAATGAAACAAATCACATTATTTAGCTCAGTCCCAAAATGGCTAAGAGACTCGATAAGCTACTTCCCAAATGAAGCCCAATAAGCTGTCTTCTTCACAAAAGCACAGAAATCCCTGCTTTTCATGTCTACCTCCACTCAAAATTAGAATAAGGAAATTGGTTCAATTTGGGGGAAATATATTTGGGTTAGACAATAAGACCTTTCTGCTTGCAAGGAGAAACTGGTAAATTCCATAGAATGCTATAGTCCCCCTCCCCCCCACTTAGATATCTTTAAAGATCCCTATCTTTATATAATTTGTGTGTGTGTGTGTGTGTGTGTGTGTGTGTGTGTGTGTGTGTGTGTGTGTGTGTGTGTGTTTCAAGAAGGTAGAGCATCCAGTCCGGAAGGAACCTTGGGGATCATCTGGGTCAGTTTTTTTCAAGCTGTGTTTAGCCTCAGAAGGATTTTCTCAAAGAAAATCTGACTCAAAGGCACAACACCCAAATGACGGAGGGCAGAGCTGTACTGCTGTGAGTGAAGGCAGGAATCAGAGCTTGGCTACTGGGCATTGCTCTGTTCGTGAGAAACCACTCCTGAGAAACCTTTACGGAATCCTAGAGCTCCTCAAATCTATTGTAATGCTCTTGTCTTGTAGAAGAGAAAACCAGAGTTCAGAGAAGGGAAAAGCATGGCTCAAGGTCACACAGAGAAATAACCCAGCAACAGGAAATTCAGCTCAGCTCTTTTCAGTCCCACAGAGCTTTCTGCAGACACAGGACCTCAGGTGAACTTATATTAAGACCTTATCACCAAAAAGATACATTCCAATGAATTCTATTATTCTGGTTCCCTCTAGTCATCAAGACTGGTATATTAATGGGATCTTTATTGTAATCCACAATGACAAAATGATGAAAGCCAAATGAAGCTATCTCTAAATAACAAGTCTATAATTGTAAATGGCCTCATGATTATTGTGTGTGTTGGCAGATATAAGTGGTTGATATAATGGGCTAACTCAGGGTCTCTAAGGATCCCAGCCCATTAAAGCCCTTTCTCCAGTAAAATCAGCAAATTTTTAGGCATCTGAGAATTGTATGCTGAATGAATGCCTTGCTCTCTGCCAGCTCACGAATTTTCTCATAGCAGCACCATGACTGGGAGGGAAAATATTTGGCTGGGGTTGAGGAGGGAGGGGAAGGTGGGGAAAGACTGGGAGGGTTGCATACTTGTACATTAGGCAAAGTTTTTTTTACCAATGCTCTTGGGCAAGCCAATGCAATGTAATATTTCAATATCCAGCAATAGTCACTCATTAGGAGCTGTCAACTTTACTGGGCATAAAGAATCAGATAGCATTTGCTATCCCTGATCTCCTTTCTTTGGGTCACAGGCTTCCCAAAGCAGCTAATGTTAGGTTACCAGCATCCTCCAGAGTAGAAGGTTTATTTTCCTTGCAATGCAGTGGGTAGTCTATGGGACTATTTCAGCAAATGATAACTCCCTCCACTCAGTTCTGCTCAGTTCTTTCCCTAAGTCCCAGAAAATCCCATTTCCATCTGAGACCAGATGGAGCCAGCAAGGTGAAGGGAAGGAAACAACCCCCATCCCAGGGGTTGCTTTGCAAAGTCATTCAATGCCTTTATAGCTCAACTCCTTGGCTCTTTCCCAGGCTGGGACTGCTTTACCCCATGGCCCTCTCTTTATCCCTTTCTAGGCCTGTCCTAAGTCACACTCACCTGGCTAAACTGCAATCTGTCCGCTGACCTGTTGGAAAGACAAAGGCAAAACGTGTATGTTAAAAGAGATGAGGTAGCCGGGCTTGGTAGCTCAGCCTGTAATCCCATGCTTTGGGAGGCTGAGGTGAGTGGATTGCCTGAGACTGCCAGTTCGAGACCCGCCTGGGCAACTTGGCAAGACCCCATTTCTACAATAAATCAAAAAATTAGCTTGGCGTGGTAGCGCGTGCCTGTAATTCCGGCTACTCGGAAGGCTGAGGTGAAAGGATTGCCAGAGTCCAGCAGGTCGAAGCTGCAGTGGCCAGGAGCAGCCACTGCACTCCAGTCTGGGTGACAGAGTGAGACTCCAACTCAAAAAAAAAAAAGAGATGAGGTAAAAGAGAAAGATCTCCTAGGAATTACCACATCCATCTCCCCTGGACAGCCACTAGTATAACAGCACGTCCAAAAAGAAAGAAAGAGAGGGAGACAGACACACAAAGATCCTTTTTTCTGGGTAAAAACTGTTTCTGATGGTGATTCCCAGTACCGTGTTGTTGGTATTTCTGTAGCTTAGGTTTGCTAACTCTGCTTCCCAATGAGAAAACAGGGGTGAGAGTAGGGGAAACAATAGCAATACAGATCACACTTTATAGAACAAATTATTAGGAGCCATCCCAGAAATAAAATTCAACTTCTCTTACAGGTGTGTTAAGTGGGTGTGGTGGGGAGAGAGACAAACTTACTTGCTCCTGAGTATAGAAACAAACATACACACACACACGCTCTCTCACGGGGTTGGGATGAAAAGAAGAAAATGGAGTTCTTTGGGGGAAAGAACAGAGAAGATATGGATATTGTAGTTTTAGATTCATACTAAATTCTCCTGTTAGGTTGGACTAGGGTGGCAACGAAGAAATGAGATTTAATGTTGATACTGCTATCAAATCATATCAATCCAATAGCGAGTCCTAAGAGTTTAATGGGTCATTGCAAGCTTTTAAAAACTGAAAACCTTAAAACTCATAAGAAATATTCTTATGTTTTTAAAAATATATACATGCACGTATACATGGACTATGATGCAACATATATTGCTTTGGGTTCACAATTAATGAAGCATGATCTATACTAAACCTGTTATATTTAAACCAGGGGCAAACCCCAGGAAGAAGGAGAGATCAGCTCACAGACTCTTCATCCAAGCTCCTGGAAAGGCAACTCCAAGGGCTGGGGGTGGGCAGGGCTTTTCCTTGCCTTTAAGGATTGCTAATTGTTGATTACAGTTCGGCTCATTTTAAGCAAGACCATCCCCCACCCCTAACAGCCTCTCATTACCAAAGGCTCAGCTTTCATCTGCAAAAATGTTATTCTGAGCCATTATTTTCAACATCTGTCCCATTTCCATTCTGGAATATTCATACACATCAATTATCCCTCTGTGGCAGGAACAAGGGGCTCTTGCATTATGGTGACAAATACATACAGAAGGCAGGAACATGATGATTTGCACACAGGAAGATTTGCAGGTTTTTTTTTCTTTATTGCTAGAACATGTCATTTTAGATTAAGGCAATTTGTACCACTAATGAATGGGCAACCTTTGTCCCTCCATAGCAGCACATTTGGTGCATATATGCATGTGAGTAAACCCATTCACTCACATATATGCACACACTCTTGCACATGTGTGATTCTAAGGTCCTGCTCCCCGCATACTTATGGGTCATGCTTAGATTTTCTTGACAAAAAGAGATCACAGCTATAACTGGTTTCAAATAGTTCCGGGCTTTCTTTCCTCCAATTCCCCATGGAGCAATCTGATATCCCATGAGCAAAGATTTTCTATAAGCAAAATTTGGCCCTCAACATTCAAACCTGTTTAGTCTGAGTCTCTTGGGTGCTGAGAAGGAAAAAGAACAAAGGTTAACTAACAGGCTTCCTTCACATAAAAGAAAATGCCTTAAGAATCACAAGATCAGCCGGGCTCGGTGGCTCAGCCTGTAATCCTAGCACTTTGGGAGGCCGAGGCAAGTGAACTGCCTGAGCCCACGGGTTCGAGACCCATCTGGGCAACTTGGTGAGACCTCGTCTCTACAATAAATCAAAAATTAGCTGGGCATGGTGCCTGTAGTTCTGGCTACTTGGAAGGCTGAGGCGGAAGGATCGCCGGAGCCCAGCAGGTTGAGGCTGTGGTGGCCAGGAGTGTGCTACTGCACTCCAGTCTGGGTGATGGTGTGAGACTCCAACTCAAAAAAATAAAAAATAAAAACAATAAAAAGAATCACAAGATCAAAGTTTAAAGAAAAGAAATTAATGATCTGGGCAAACTGTCTAATGCAGGCAAAGGACAGGGTAAAAAGGAGGCTCTGGTATAAAAAGCAGGACTCCAATTCCTGGGGCCAATGAGCCCATGACTATGGCATACCTTCCTGTACTCTGCAGTTTGTCTGAAGAGTACTCAAGAATTTATCTTAAAATGTTAGACCTCTGTGTAAATGCAGGCTTGTCTGTCACTGATGTTACCATAGTCCCTGCAGCCTCTCCCTTCCTCTCCCTCACATCTCTTAAGTGAGAAGATTAGTGGGGCAGGGAGGAGGGGCTGGGCATTCAGAGACATCCCTAACCTGGGAATCCTATTAATCACAGGATGCGAAGAGCTAGGCAGGAGACCTGGGCAGGTTGCCAAAAAACCTCGGGGAAGTTTCTCTCTCAACCTCCACCTTCTGTTTGACAGCCGAGGAGAGAAAGTCCAGAGTGCCAGTCCAGTTCTCTGTCTTGCTACTTTCTAGGGTGTCTGGCTAAAATCATCCTATGAGACGAGACAGTCCATTCAGCACCATGGCTTTAGCACGGCCACAGCAGAGAGCTGCCACTTAACCAGTATCAGAAGCCTTCAAAACAGAAGGAAACCGATGTTTTCCCTGGAAGCTACAGAGAACAGTAGTCTATCCATCCCTCCTGCATTTGAGGATTCTTTCCTCTCCTCAGAGAAGCTGGGCATCTCATCTCATGGCTCCCTACCTTCTTGCTCCAACCTCAGTCCTGCCACAGAGGAACTGCAATTTTTAACTAAGTGTCTGGAGCATAAATAACCCCTCAGCCTCTCTACTCTAGTCGTGGCAGAGGAGTCAAAGGAGGGGGACTGGGTGGAGAGCAGGCACGCTTCATTTAAACAAATAGATGATGCACGTTAGTGCTTCATTAAGCATTGGCCTTTTCCCATTACTCAAGCAGTCATTTGGGGCGTGTGCTTCCACATCAAACAGGCCAGGAAAAGAAATGCATTCACATAACAAGATCGGGTCCACTTGGCTGAGGATGGAGGCGTGTGCTCAGCAAGAAAGCTTGAGCAGGCCTCACTGCCAAGCCTGCCAAGCAGAGGGTTCCCACACTCACTTTCTCCCAGGGTTTTCTGCAGAAGGTCATGCTTGGCTTGTAACTTGGTGATGAGATTCCTTCCCTCCAGGTACTCCTTCATTTTCTATAAGAGAGGAGGAGAAAAACAATCAGACTCCCGAAGAAGAAAATCACAGGAGCTCAGCTGGACAATTCTCCTTTTTAGAGGTCATCTGGTTTCTAACACAATTTCTATAAAGTCCATTTTTTTTATTTCTTTAAGGCCTTGAGTATATGGGCAGCTGCTGATTTTCATGGTGGATAAGTATCCTACTCGTGGATGGATAAGTTTTTCTGGGAGCTCCATGTTAGCCAGTATAAACAAACTTTTTTCTAGAGCCCTTTATCTGTCTCTGAGCTCTGCTTTTCTCAGTGTAGAGACACACACCACACACACGCTATTTGGCACTTCTGCTGACAGCCTGCCCTGCCCTGTCCCCTTCCTGGGCACATTCCATCACACCAGGAGTAGGGCCTATGGCAGGCTCAGTCCCTGCCTCAGCTGCAAAGCCCAGTGTGCAGAGCATCTTTGTCTGAGCTGTACCCTAATCAGCCTCATTCTCGATTCAGCACGAAGTCTTTATGGAAAGCTTGGGGTTTCTGAGCACTCAGAGAAAGAAGCTGTCACCCCACCTACTTATACACACACATATGGTTCCAAACAAAAGATAAGGTTTTGGAAATGTAATTTCACCTGCTCTAACAGTCAAAATATGATTGCTGCATTTTTATATTTGCTCTCTCTCAACTCTTGTCTGCCCAATGAGGGACCATTATGTTCCCAGACAATTAATCAAATCTTCAAAACAATCCTAGGAACTATTATGGGGATTATGATTATTATCCCCCCATTTTTCAGATAATGGCACTGAGGTTTGAGGAGTTTAAGTTGCTCAAGGTCAAACAGTTAGTGAATGGTAGGGTCAGTATCCACACACATGCAGTTTAATTGTTATGATAAAATGCTCTATACATTATGATACAGAGCAGAAGAGAGAAGCAGAACTAAACTCCAAAGCATTAATTCTTTTTATATGTTTAGCAATTTAAGAGGTCTTAGAACACTTTAGCCCATATTCTTTCACATGACTCCCAATAACTGTACAGTACATCGTGAAGACATTATTATTTCCTTATTACAGATAAGAAGATGATCTCAGGGGAATGGGGGTGTCAAATAATTTGCAAGCTAGTAAGTAGCAGACCCCAGGCCTTTGGACTCTTAATGGTGTGTTTTCTACGCTCTCCCACAGCCATTCTTGGGATCTTAGTTTGCCTTGGTTGTCTCCTGCTGCAGTGGTTCATCTGCCAGAGCAGGGGTCATCTGCCCATGTCTAAATTCAGAAGCCAAATGGCAAGGTTTACCAAAGAGTGATAGTGAATTAATGCTGATCATTTAAATTGTAATTGTTCTTTTTCATGTGTATTAAGCCAAAAATAATAATAATAATTATGAATCAAACCTTTGATTTCGTGGCTATTACCACTTAGGATTAAGACAGATAGAAAAGGTGAAAAATAAGAGTTACTTTTGTACTTTTCTGTGCAGTGTAAACTTTTAACTAAGAGCTTGTATTTAACACGAACAAACTTTCTCTTTTGTTTAAAAACAAAAGAAAAATCTGTTTTCTCCAGGATATCGTCCCTGGCTCTCTCATGCTCACCCAGATGGTCTTGTGTGTACCTTGCAAATTTCCATGACAGCATTTTTCATACAGTCATGAAGGGTTTATTACTCATGTGTCCTTCTCTCCAGACTGCTTTCTCCCTATGGTCAGAGACCATGTCCCTTTATTATTCTTTGCATCCCTGATGCTTAGTACCATGCCTAGCAGATAGCAGATACTCAATAAATACATGAAGAATGAATAAATAAAAGAGCAATCTCACTTTCCTCTGGACAGAACCTTGGTCAGCTGCTATAAACCAAGTCCTTATATGAGCCCTCACTCTCTAAATTAAATATAAAACAAACTCTATATCACATTATTTCTGCTGCCTGCTGAAGACCTGTTCCCTCTGCTCCTTTATGCTTTTGCACGAGAACATCTGCATGAAAATAGGCTCCACTGTCACTTTACTTTTTCCATCTGCTCCAGCTGCCAGCTCTCCTACTGTCAGCCCTCCCTGGTGATGTCCTAATCCCCAGCCAGTGGCTAACTGTGGGTTTGGGACAGAACTTTAGAGCCCAGAGGTGAAAAGCCTTCAGGAAACATCCAACACAATCTTCAAAAGCCTCTCTTTGGAAGGTTATCCCAGGAGACTCTAGAGGTTTCCTAATGAGAAAAATTCACCAAGAAGCTGTAACCCTCAAAACAAGACCAGGCTGCTCAGAAAACAGCCGAAACTCTGAAAGGAGATGGATGCAAATTCCTTCCTCTTACTCATGTTTCTACTTGTGATTCCAGAAATCATTTTTTCCATTCATTTTCACAGTTCACTAGTTAACTGGCTGTCACTTGGTGAACCATTAAAATAAATAACAATCTGATAAAGAGGTATGATGGATTACCTTTTCAGGTTCCATTAAATCCAGAAGGATCAAAAGTGTGCAAGATATGACCTGCATCCTAATACTGGCGTGGAAATCATGGTTGGGGGTTTTCCATCTAGGTAACTGGGTATGAGAAGGTAAAGGAATCCCAGAGTTTGCAGGCATGCTATTTATTACTTCCCTATCCTGTCCAGAAGTCAGCACTCATTTGTATGAAAGATAAACTGGGAATAAATGACCTTGCCTTTATTGGTGGAGTTGAGGGAAAAGGCTTCAGTTGCTGCTGGACAGACACACAGAGAAAAGAGCTGAGACTGCTGAAGGCATGGGAGGAACATGTAGCTTTTTGATGACTTCTGGGGCCCAGGGGGCCAGGAAAAGTGCTGCTTATAATCTCAAATCTCAAAATCCCTTCCCTGGGCAATGAGGGTCACTTTCCTTATTTAGGGCATGTTCCAATATTAGGTAATTAATTTTCTTTCATTCCACTGCCTACACCTAGTTTCCCTGATCAAACACCCAAAAGTAAAATGATTTCCTGGAGTTTTCCTCAATGGAAGAGCAGAATAAAGGGTAATTTTTTACTCTAGGTATCACCAAAATAAAATCAAGTTCCTAAAACACAGTCTAGCCACAACTTTCACACTCAAAATGATCAAAACTGAGAATTTCTTCAAAAAGTAGGAAGGAAGGCAGAAGTGTGCTGTTTTGTTGCTACTGGGAAACTTCCATTCGGTTCTTATGATCTTGGGAATTCATTTCCTAACAATTCCTTATTGGTTATTAATTGTCAGTCATGAGTTTTACTTATTTAAAAATATTAATATATAATTTTTATTTCAGAGTCCTCCCTCCTTAGCAGACATTTTAGTTGTGTTACAATGAAAAAGCATGAGGTGGAATAGTCTAGTCCTACCACTTACTAACTCTTCTAACTTTGGGCAAATCACTTAACCTCTGAATCTTAGTTTTTCCATCTGAAAAAAAGGGAAAGATATCTTTTTCATTCATTCATTTTCTCAAAGTTGCTGAGAATAAAAGCGGATAACAAGCATCACTGTGATAAGCAGAGGGCCTGGCACCTAGCAGGTACTCAAAAAATATTCCTTATATCAGAATCATCTGCTTAGTTAACCTAAAAACCATTCCTTCCCTAAACGTCTTTGTTTTGATCTAAAATATATGCTGAATCAAAGCAGAAGGTTTGGGGCCTTTAAAAAAAAAAACAGGACGAGGCACAAGAATGCTTTTCAAATTTAAAAAACTCTTCCCTTTAAGTACACTCTTACCATGAGGGTAAAAAACTCACGGGACCTTACTTATTTCTTGGATTGAATCTGTGTGAACCCAAGGCCATAAGTATCCACTGCAGCAAAGGGGTAGAGTGGGTAGGAGGAGTTAACTATGCCTAGCCAGTCCCATGTGCACAGATACACAGATGTCATTATTGTGGTTGCTTCTCCACCATCCAGGCATCTGACATTTCCCCTCCTTCCCGTCAATTTTTAAAACAAGAAACAGCTGTCAGACAGAATACATAATAGAATAAACCTTAAATGGAGCATATCTCCCAGGTTAATCAACAAGGCAAGGGCATTCACTCATTTGTACTTGCTTAGTACACGTTTACCAAGGACCTGCGAGAGAATATCAAGATAAAAAAATCTCAGACCTTAAGTTCCAAGTCTAACGGTCTAACCCAGTACCCCAGTGGCCAAGGCATTGTCTCCTCTTCTATTACTTTACCCAAACCTGTCCCTAAGAATTCGGGTAGTCTAGCTTTGTTACTTTATCAGCCATTATCCTTAATCCCTTCCATGTTCTATCCTCCATACAAGAACCTCATACTCCAACTCCTCAAACAAGGAAATACTTAGGAGAAATGCCAGCCTTGTAAGGCTTTGGTAAACCTTGGCTAAACAGTGAACATTATTGTCTACAAGCAGAAAATTGGTTCAATAAATGATGCATGAATTCCATCCAACCATTGAAAAAAGAGGCAGATCTTTTAAAACTAATATAAAGATAATATCCAAAATAAATTAAGTGAAAAAAGGAAGTGAAGAAAAGTAAGACTGGAATACTTCCATTTTATTTCATTATATTTCTATGTTACTTATTTATTGAATGGTATTTACAGATACCTCAGTTGTTGTCCATGCATAGAATACCTCTGAAAGGATACTGGCTTCAATTACCAGCAGAAGGAAGAGGAAGGAGGGTCAGGAATGGGCAAAAGCTTTACAACACTTTTTTTCTGTATGCCCTTTGGAAATGTTTGTATCTTTTAAAAAAAAAAAATCTGCTTTTAATCACCACCATTCAAAAAGGCAATGAGAAAAAAAGGAGACATTGCTGAATTACATGTTACAGAAGAAGATGAGTGATAAACACAAAGCCAAGAGCATCAGGAATCATGTCCCCACTTAGGGCAAATAAGAGGAAAAGGCTGCTGAGTTGTTCCTACATCCTTTCCTCACCTCAGCTTCCTCAGCAGGATAGAGAGAAGCCTGTGGCCAAAGACTAGGTGACCAGAGTTCTTGGTTCAGCTCTTGCTGAGAACCTTGAGCAAGCTACCCATCCTCTCTGGATTTATTATTTTCTTTACATTTTTCAAATAAGAAGGTTAGGCTGGATGATTTTTTCAAATCGCTTCAAGCTTTTAAATTCCATTGGTATTTTCCTGAGACTATTGCAAGCAATTGACCTTTATAGGTCATATGCTTCAAATTTCTAATTGATGTCATCTGGGCAAATCAGTCTGATGATGACAGCCACAAGCAGTCAGAAAGCTTTCCTAGCAGGCCTCTTGGTCACTAGAAACACCTCCTAGGAGTCAAGCCATGGCCAAGGACCTCTTCCCAACTTTCCAAAAGAAGGGAGCTTCCAGGATGCATTGGTCTGACATTTTTGAAGGGCATAGAGAAACACACAGGCAATGTTTGCAGAGGCAACAGACTAAAAAAAGCACGTCTGCAGTTGTGTTGACTTTGTATGGGTTGTATGGTAAACAGGCAGCCAATCTGTTTAACGTGAGCACCTCTTCTTTCATAAACATCTATTTCACCACACAAAAAAAGTCCTTTTATCATGAAATGAATTATCTGACACATTTCAAGCACCAGTCACAAAAATGATGAACTCCCTTATAAATCCATTATTAGACAAGCCCAGACAAAAACCATTCCTGTTAGCCAAGGAAATTTGCACACAATTTTGATAAGTAGCACTAGGGCCACAAAAGACAGGAAATGGGTTAGAGGACATCAAAGAATTTAGACAGAAGGTGAAAGGGTAGACGGGATTTGAGAGGTCACCAGTTTGAATATGGTCATTCCTGCTTTAACTAAAGGTCAATGTTGAATACAAATGTTACAGATTCACTTAAAGTCAAAAAGCAATTCTGACAAAAGACTGTCTTAAAATACAGATTTTTAGGTCCAAAATTTCTTACTTAACCTAAAAAATGGAAATATGCAATGTAACGAGATTAGGTCATTTAAATAGTGTTATATCTAAGCAGTCCAGAGAGAGCAGCTAAACAATCCTATTATTAAAAGCCTCTAGAGAGTGTTCAACAAGCTCCCTAGATAATGAAGCTTGGGGCAGCGACACATCCTTCCTTATAGTCAGAAAGTTCTCTCCCTATCTAAGCCAGGTTTTTGCATGCCTTTATGCTTCTGCACATTCTGCTCTTTCCTCAAGGAATGCCATTCTTCAACCCAGCCCTGCCTGGTTGACTCATTCTTCAAGATCATGCTCAAAAGTCACTTTGTGTGTGATGCTTTCCCAATTCCAGCCATCCTGGTTGCCATTCAAGCACATGAGCATATATGCATTTTTAAAATTTTACATTTTTTAATTACAAAAATCAAGCTATCTTAACTGTTTAGAAATAGATGCAGTAAAAATAAAAGTTCTCAGCTGGGCTTGGTGGCTGAGTCTGTAATTCTGCGCCTTGGAAGGCTGAGGTGAGTGGATTGCCTGAGCCCGCGGGTACGAGACCCGCCTGGGCAACTTGACGAGACCTCATCTCTACAATAAATAAAAAAATTAGCCGGGCGTGGTAGCGCGCGACTGTAGTTCCTGCTACTTGGAAGGCTGAGGTGGAAGGATCGCCGAATCCCAGCAGGTGGAGGCTGAGGTGGCTTCCAGTCTGGGCAACAGAGTGAGACTCCAACTCAAAAAAAAAAAAAAGTTCTCCCTTTACACGCCCAGTTTCACTGTTCCCCTCTTCATCTTATATTCACAGCATCCCCAGTTTGTAGCATGGTGTCTGCCAAAAGGTAAATCCTCAAAAAATGATGAATAAAAACGACTAATATATATATTATTAATGATGATAATGGTGACAATAAATTTTAAGCACTTATTGAGCACTAACCACAAACCAGGTAGTGTGTTAAATATTTTTTTTTAAATGAATGAATGAATGAGCCAAAATGTCATTTTATTATTTTGTGTAGATTTTGGTATTTTACTTATAATATGCTTAAAGAATGTTATAATTAAATGACTTAGATTGTAAAACAGTATGTACAGTAGTATCCCACTTTTTGTAATAAAATTATAAATATTATGCTCACATATAGTTTGCATATGCATAGAAAAAAGATGGAAAGGGAATATATTCCAACACCATTATCTCTAGGTGTTAAGATAATGGACAATTTTTATTTTCTTCTTTTTGCTTCTAAGTTGTATATAATGAGTATATTTTGCTTTGTACAATAACTTAAAAAATTGTTTTAGAAGAATAATACTGATGAAACCATTCCCTTTTAACAGTTTTCTAGGATAAAAAAAAATCTGAGCTTAACTAATTAAAGAAACAGATTTCTTTTTAAAAACTTAAAAATTCATTAGCATTCTTAATGGTGAAAGGGCAGTGTTCAAAGAAAAATTAAACAAATAGTTCCAGTTGGAGGAATAATTCAATTTACTGCATGCAGACTGACAAACAAGTTCATTCCTTTCATTCAGAATTAGTATGCACATTCACCGGCTATATTTCATCTCACATCTGCAAACTTAATTTTTCCTTTCTTGGTCATCAGAAGATTAGGAAATAAACTTTAGTCCAGGCAATAAATCCTACTTGGCAAGCTCAAAATAACTTAATTATTAAAAAGCAGCACCAAAGATCAGCTAGCAACTTTCCAAAGAACTGTTAACACTACTTTAAAAAAAAAAAAAGGGTCCATCTGTCTAAATGAAGACTGGAGACGCAAGAATAATAAAGTATAATGTTTTGGAATTCTCTGTAAAACAGCAACACTGCACATTACCCATTCTTTTAAATTTTAGCAGTAATTTTGAAAACTAGCTTCCCACCAATTAAAGTTACAAAATAATGTTGTCATACCACCTAGAAGAGACTACAAATTTTTAAAACAAGATATACATTATAGAGAATATTTGGATGTAGTGCTCAAAAACTAAAAGATGAAATCCCTCTTTCGTGATTCCCTGTGGTTGAGAAGGAAGCTTTCAAACTAAAGCCTACTAGCAGATTACAAATTCTCTTAAAAGAACATCTTAGTCATATATTGGGAGCATTTTTTCTTTTGGGGGTCCCTGTTAAGTCACAGACAACTGGTAGATGTTTGTGCCTTTAAGTGTAGGAATTGTCTCTGAGTATGTCCAGATTCATATCTTGGATATTCAAAGCCTGCCCTTCAGACTCTTAATAAGGACTCTTGAGTTCCCAATCTCTCTTGTGTGCCTCAGTGCCTGCTGATGCTTTTTAAAGGCCATTGAGCTCCCTTACTGTGAAATAAAACTGCTCTGTCTCTTGCTGGTTGGCTCTCCTCTTAGCGATGCTGGGCTTGCTCATGAAGGTTTCAGAGACTGTAGACTTGACGGATTCCATAGAGTTGCTGTACTGGAAGCAGTCAGACACATCAAAATCCTCGACAGTCACAATGTCCTGGATGGTCTGCAGGGTGGCCTCCATTGTCTTCTTTACCTGCAATGACAAGAGTCAACATAATACACGAAGGGCAGGATGCAAAATAGCAGGTGATAAAGCAGCCTGAAGTTAGGGAGAGAGTGGCCTGGGGAAGGCTGGAGGATGCTGTCAGGGAATGGAGCTCTGCTTCCCATTGAAAAGTGCACTTAGTGAGTGACAAACATCAGATGGACACTGCCATAGCATGCTACTCTCTTCAGTGAGAACCTAAAAACAACTACCTCCTTTGTGCTGGGTAATTGACCCAGCTCTTTTACTTACTGTTTATTGCTAAAATGTAATATTCGTTATTTGTTATAATGAAACTGGTAAGGGAAAGAGAATGAAATCAATCCAAATCAATCAAATCATACAAACAGCTATTAAAATGTGTGATGGGCCTTAGTCCTGCAAAGTCCCAGGTTCTACTTCATGACCTTCAGCAAATTGATGAACTTATTTCCTTATCTGCAAACTAAGTGTCCCATCCCCAGTACTTCCTGATCTTTCTGGGAAAAGTAAGATTTACTGAGATGCAAGGTAAGAAGCCATTTGAGCTCAACAGAAAGCTGGATCATCAATCAGACTGCCCTTTTGAACTAGTTGTTGAAAGCAAATATGCTAGGCCCAGAAGAAAGTCATCCTTTCCTAAGAGGATAGAGATGTTTGAAGTATCAAAGTCAAAGGCCTCTGTTTGAAAATGTTGAAAAAAGATAGGCATGAGGGGGTGGTTTCAGAGACACAATATTGTTCACACAACTGCCAAGTGCCATTTTGATTAAGTGTGTAGAGGGGAAAAAATGCATTTTGCAAAAGCTCAAAATAGAGCACAACCTTTGGCAATGCAAGAGTAACTTCCTGGAGTTCAAGGGCAGGATGTAGCAGAGGGGGAAAGTCCAAGACTACATTTGGCTAGGAAATGTTTGCGGCAGCCCGGACATTCTCTGCATGCTCCTTCCACCTGCTCCCAGATGGGCAGCAGCAAGAGGTTCAATAGGAAAACTCAGAGCGTGGCTCTGAGACTCCTAGGCAGGAAACTTACCTCTTCATTCTCGATCTTTAGAGTGGATAAGCGAGACTGCAGCTGTTGGCATCTCTGCACCAACTCACTCTGGACAGGTTGCTGGGCACAGAGCTGGGAAGCCTGCCAAAAGAAAGCAACACCAGGTCAGAAAGAGGACACAGTTGTTTTGGCAGTTCCAGAGTTCCCATTACTGGCAATAAAACTACTCACATTCAAGGTGTAAGACTCACAGTTTCTATGTTGAAACAAAATCCAAAGCCAACATGTATGGACCTCTTCCAGGACCAAATAGCACACAAAAGGAATGGGGAAAGGGGAATCTCTTTGGAAACATGAAGTCTCTCTCTTTGAGCCCATCTCCAGGCTGGTGATTGGCCAAGGGCAGGTATATCGGGGTCTGCAGCTCCTTGGAAGGCTGAGGAGGCTGAAGTAGAGTGCCTCAGGCAGCTCCAGCTCCAGAAACACAATGCTTTGGCACAGTGAGGATTTCCTGCTAGAGGTCCAAGTGGCCACCTCTCTGGCCCCTCCTTCATCCCCATTTGTACACCAGAGTGAAAGCAGGAGAGAAGTGGGTCAGGAGGCTAACTTGCCGCTGTTGGCAGCCAGCATGTGTTTATAAATCCAGGCCACGTGTGACAGCTCTGATTCAATGAGAGAGTGTGAAGCCAGGACAAGTTCACAGGCTATGCTAGAGGGCCCCAGAGGGCATGGAATCTGGAGGAGGTTGGCATTTTCCAAAGAGTTATCATTTTACCCCAGGTCTTCACTAGATCTGTGTGGGAGAGAAATCTGCCTCTCCCTCAAGGATTATTGCCAACTAACTAGCTTTCTCCTGCGTGAAGAAATAGCAGATCTACTGTCTCCTGATGGGGATGTGGCTATGGCATGAGGTTACCCATAGTCCCCTGGAGAATAGAAGAGGAGCAGAAGGCGGGAGTTGGAAGGCAAGAACCACGTGGAAGCAGCTCCTGTCATCTTGATACCATGAGTCCTTTAGCCTGTTGTCTACGGAGAAACATCTGAATAAAACTGGCCTCCTTTCTCCTCAGCAAGGAGTGGGCACATTCACATGCCCACAGACCATTCTCTACTTTAAAAGACAAAACCTCTCTTCAAATGGAGGGGGCTGAGACTTGACCTTTTCCTCCATTGGCTTTTAAGCTCCCAACGACTTGACCTCCTCCCCCAGCTGAGAGGCTAGACTGAGCCAGCTCTCAGATCTGAAGAGAGCTGACTTCACTCTGGCTCTTGGATAAGCAGACACAATGGAGAAAGCTCAGTGGCCAGAATGGGTTAGTGCCAAGAGTGAAACTCTCTGGCTGCCTGATGTCACCGGTCAGGCATCCAGAGCCCCACAAGCCTCTGGGGGCACCAAAAGTGGAGCCAAGCACCTCCTCCTAGTACATTTGAGAGCACTTGGCATCAATTCACATGCTGCACACCCCAGCACACCAGTCAGTGTGGGGCCTTGGCCAGTTTCAGGGCTTCCGGTCAAAATGCCACCCGAACTTTGGCCCTAGTTCAGGACTTCCAGACAGCTCCCTCCTGTTGCCTCTGCAATCTACAGACAACCCACACTGATGGGGATAGACTGGCTGCAGGGACCAAGAACGACTTGCCCTCTCATCTCTTTATTTTCACTCATACGAATGCTAGGCTGGAATGCAGAACACATTTACAAGCTCTAGGACTGGCTCTGGCTCAGCCACTGATCAGCTACAACACACAAAGGGAGGGCCCAGGCAGAAGAGTAAGCTATTGATTTTTGAAATAACTCAGACCCAGCAGGAAGGAATCATAGAGGGAAGATCACCTCCATATCTGTTCTTTTAAGAAGCAGCAGCGCTGCTGATGCATGCTTTGGCAGTGGTCCACTACCGGGGTGCAAGGTAATATATTCCAGCTGTGCTCTAGAGTATGGAAATAAGGCTCTGACAGGGCTAAGAGGGGCCTGAGCACCTAGCATCTGGATTCCCCCTTTATGGAGACAAGCTGCTTGGCTCAAAAGGCAACTCAGTCAACACCAGAAAATGTATCACTCCACTCAGCTGATCCCCAAGTACTACTGATTCTTGGGAGGGGATCTCAGTGGCAGCTGGAGAAGGGGCTTGGAAGGCAAGTTTGACCAGAAGCCAGGGCAGGTAAGGAATGGGGGCTTCCTGGGGAAGCTTCCTGGTGACACCTCTTCCCCCAACTCTAATTGCACATGCTGCCATCTCACTTCCCCATCTGTTCAGATGCTGACATTTCCAAAGCCACAGCAATGGAAACAAACTGTAAATGGTTTGGTTTTCCCAAGAAGGAAAGAAAGAAATCATCGCCACATTTTTGTCTTTAGGACAGAAATGCCCCCTAACCATAGTAGCCTATTGATGACAGCACATCCTCTGGTTACACTGCTACAGCTGTCATTCTAGAGCAGAGATTTCTTAAGAGTCTGGATGCCGATCCTAAAGGAAGTGTCATTCCTAAGAAGAGCACATTGCTGTTCTTTGGACCTCTAACATCTACTCTTCCTTTCGGTAGCTTTGGTCTCACTACACTGAGGGAACCTATACTCTACAACTCAGGCCATGAGCTTTGAATGGAGCATGTGACCCAGGCATAAGCTGACCAGCCAACTGCAGACACCTCACCACAGTGACTGGCTCAGGGACACCCACTTTACCCAGTCAAAAACAATGAGACACATGAGACTTCTGCAGAGGCTTTGGGGAAGAAAGCAGATATTCTTTTCACTAGATTTGAACCCACGAGGACAGAAGGTTAGAAATGCAGTCACCTTGACTCCACAGGATAAGGGCCTATCTGAGAATGGAGCTAACACAGAAGTGGAACAGGCAGAGAAAAACCGAGTCTTGGTAAAATTCCTACTACCAAATCCAGTCATGCCGGAAGGTCCATTTTGATCTTTTCCTATCATGTAAACCTGTACATTCTCCTTCGGATTTAACCAGTAGGTGAAATGGTGGCTCTCATCTACAGAAATAAGGTTCACTTTGACTTGCATGCACGACCATCACAAGTGTAACCAAAAGAATGGGTTTTCTCTCACTTTACTTAGGTCCTTTGTGTGCTGGCCATTGGAGGTAAAAGAGTCCAAAACAAGGCCCCCAGTTCATGCTCCCTTTTTTGGGCAACCAGCATGAGGTCTTCAGGATAGCATTTTAACTCTTGTCCTTTCTGTAGGTACCCATTTTGTTGTTGTTGTTCAATACCCAAGGAAAATACACTATTATCACAATACACTCTTACCACAATTGTCTAAACTCAGGAGAATAAGATTCTTCAGAACACTGCCAAATGACAAAAGGTCACACCATTCCCCATCTCAGCCCCTCCTCCTCCACAGAAGCTTTTAGGACGCCCCTCCCCCAACTTCCTCTGGTCTCACCACGGGGAGGGTTTCCCCTCCCCTACTTTCCTTTCACCATAGTGAACTGATAGCAGTTTTTAGAATATACCTGCTGTTTTTCATCTTCTTTGACTGTGCTGGGCTCCTTTGGATGCCCCTTCCTATGAATATTTCTACCTCTCTTCCAACTTCAGTGGCCTTACTCCCTAGACTGTAAGCTCCCTGAGGGCTCTAATCCCCATTGTCTACAGGCTAGCCTGAGTGTGTGACCGCAGGCATTCAGTAGCTGCTTGCTCAATGAGTAAAAATGTGCCTCTCACCCACCTGACAAGAAGCCAGGCCCAGGCCTTTCCCGGCCCCACAATAATGTGACTTCTGTGTAAGGAATCTAGATACAAGTGCATTCAAACCCTTTGGGGGTTGTTGTAAAGATAGAAAGAGGGCCTCACCATGTCCCCCATGTGTGGCTGAAACTCAAATTTCATAGGGGGGCAGAAGACATTGTTGTACATCTCCATGAGGCGCTGCTTGTCACTGGTGGCATCCAGGTTTTCTACTGCATTCTCGATGGCATCCAGACCCTCATGCTTCGACTGTTCCAGATTTAACTCAGCAGAGAGGAAGGTGCGCAGAGCACGGTTCAGGCTAGCATGGTAGCCTAAGTCACAACACTGCTGTGGGAAGGAGAAGGCACATGAGCACACCATGAACAGCCCAAAGGCTTGGTAGAAAGGGATGGTGGTCCCTAGGGCAAATGTGATCATATCAGTGAAACTGGCTGTGCAGTAGAAAGAAGGCTGACATTCTGATTTCCAATGTCTGAGTGAGAATTCTCAGTTCTTGACTCCAAGTTCAATGGTTAAACGTGCCCTAGAGGACTGTGAGGTGGTTAGAAGGAAGAAGATTCATAAGAACAAAATGACATTATTTAATTAAGCACTGTATAGTGCTATTCCTTAAACATGAGAATAGTTGAAAGTTAAAGGGAATCCTCTTCCATTTTCAGATTTATCTGGGGATACCATTATAACAAAACTCAATAATAAAAATATTGCCTACCACTCCCTGAGGTTTACTGTGGTTAAGTCATAACATAGCAACCAAGCCAGGCCATTTCAGCATTCAGGGTTCTGAAAGCAGGAGTTCTACAACAGCAGCTAACTCAACTCTGGGTGGAAGAAGGAGATTATGGGGGGCTGACTGTGTGTGCCATCATGCTCACCAACTCCCAACATCTTAGGACAGGCCTTGGGTGCAGATTAGGATTTCCAATGTGCCTCCTCTTTACTGGCATCTGATAATAGATGTCCCTGCCCTATAAGAACAAGACAAAAAAGCTCTACACGTATAAGTGTCACTAGGGAAATTCTTCATGTAAAGGATTCTGATTTTCTACAGAAAAATGAAAAAAGAGCCGGGCTCGGTGGCTCAGCCTGTAATCCCGCGCCTTGGGAGGCTGAGGTGAGTGGATTGTCTGAGCCTGCGAGTTCGAGACCCGCCTGGGCAACTTGGCGAGACCTCATCTCTACAATAAATCAAAAATTAGCCAGGAGTGGTAGCATGTGCCTGTAATTCTAGCTACTCGGAAGGCTGAGGCAGAAGGATCGCCGGAGCCCTGCAGGTCGAGGCTGCGGTGGCCGGGAGTGCAGCCTGGGCGACAGAGTGAGACTCCAACTCAAAAAAAAAGAAAAATGAAAAAAGAAATGGGTATGAGAGAGGCAATTGTACTTAAAAAAGCACTGGAGGCAGAGTCAAGCAACCTTGCAAAAGCTACTCCCCATCCCTAAGTCTGTTTCCACCACAGCATAATGAACAGATCTGACCAGGTCAGTGGCGTTCAAATCGTAGACCAGAGAGCTCTAAGGTTCTGTGCCAGCACTCAGGCTGCCCTTGAGAAGAGGGTAAAAGGGTAACCCAACTAGTAGGACTTGGAGCCTCCTATCCCTCCTTCAACCAAGCCAGCTCTGTTCTTTTTTATATTTAATACATTGGGATTTTATGTAAGATCTGATTTCAAGAAAGAATTCTTTTACTAGAAAAAAAGTCTTGAAAATCTTTGCACCAAATATAATTCCTAAGATCCTCTCTACCAATAGCATTCTGTAACTCTGTGACAATATTTCCCACTCCTCCAAAAGGACCCAGAGATCCTGATTCCTTGGTCATCCATTATCCCTTCTATTGGTTAAGCAGATTTGAGGTCCAGGACATGAGAAGAAACATCAAAGAAAAATCCATACATAGAGTACGGCCATCTGCCTGATTGCCATTTCATTTCATAAGTAAGCATCGAATTAACTCTCCCCAGCCTCTCCCTCTCATCATGATCACATTCGAAGCAGCCACTGTTGGAGAAGAAAAGACATGTGACATGCCTCCTCTTTCTCGGCATCTGACAAGAAGCTCAGTGAGAGCATCCGATGGGCTGGGCTCTGGGTTCAGTGCCAACAGGCCTTGGCAGGTGCCTGGCTGCCGTGGAATAACAGCAGTTACAGCTTAACTGAAGGCAGAGGAGGGAAAGACATTCAATTCAGTTGGGAAGGAAGAGCAAATGGAAACAAGACAAAAGCAGCTGATTAGAAGGCTGCACGTGCAGGGCCCCTTCCTCCTCTGAGAGATGCTACTGGGCTAACCAGGCTGTGCTTGAACCTGTAAACATTCTTGACTAGCTATACGTAGACTCTGATGATGCAAGTCTAATGAACAGAAATAACACTGCCCACTGTGTGTGTGTGTGGCAGGGAACAGGAAGGGGGTAGAATTTGGAGGAAGAAAGGTACCCTTCAAAAACCCTTCCCTATTTTTGGCAACACCCCATTCCTCTCAATTCTCATTACCTCTACCTACATTCATACCCTTACCATCCTTCACTAGTGCTGTCTGCTTCACTGTCCTAAAATGCAACTTTTATTACGCCACATCTCTGTTGAAGAACCTAAAATACCTCTCTTTTTTTCCTAAGGTAAAACCTATCTTCCTAAGTTTGGAAATTTAAAACAAGGATCTATTTCACTAAGTATGCTTACTATATGCCAAGCTGGGTGCTAAGTGCTTTATTTACATTCTACATTCTAATACTTATAACTCCAATGCGATTGGTATTATCTTAACTTTTCGATCTCAGAAGCTGAGGTTCAGTGAGGTTAAATAACTTAAGAAAGGCCCAACAGCCAGAACCAGATGTAATCTGTCTTTCATCTTCCCATCCTCTCCCTCTATTTTCTTCTTCAAGTTCTTCTGCTGTAATCCAATGACATACTCTCTGTTTAGGGTAGAGTATTAGAAAAAGCATGGGCCTCAAGTTACCTATATGACCATAGCAAGCTACTTAATCCCTGTGATCCTCAAATGAGGATAACACCAGTTTCCTAGGTTGTTGTGAGGATAATAGGCAAGATAGTTACATATCTTTGGCACCATGTAGACACTTAACAAACACTAACATAACCCCAAATCACTGACCTCTGTCCTTCAGCTCCCAGAATTTCCTCTTCCTAAAAACGTTTCCCACTTCTCTCACCCACTGGAATTGGACCAGATCTTCAAGATCCAAATAAAATTCTCAGCCTGTGGGAAGCCAGCCGGCTCTGCGATCCTAGCCTCCATTGATCCCAGCCTTCACTTAGAACCACACTCACCTACAGCCCTCATGTGACAAAGATTACATACGCTCATTTTGTGGCTTGCCATTTCATATCACTTCAATCAGAAGGCAAGCTTCTTGAGGGTTTGGCCAGTGCCTCGATCTTCTTTAAAACCTTCAGCATTAGGCCTTTCTCTCAGTAGGCATTTAATAACTTCAATTGGTTAACTGATGCCACAGGTACAAATTCCAGTGTCTCAGGAAGCAATACACTTAGGCTGAATACTAACCTAAGTCAAGTGGGTACACGAGGCAATTGAAGCCTTTTGTTTTGCTCACTCTGTAAGGCCAAAGGAAGGCTGGGAGTTTTCCCAGAGTGGGGTACTGTCTCTATTTATATAACCGTTCTGTAGTTTCTCTGGGCCAATGAGTAGGGGTCTGACTCACAGAGTGCCCCCTGGCTCCTCCACACCTCCAACCCACCAGGGAGATTTGGAAGGGTTTTTCCAGAGTCCTGAATACCTACATACCTGTAGGGGCAAGAGCCAGAAACTTAGCCTTTAGCAAAGAAGCACTATCTAGCAAGGTTAGGTAAATGAGATTTGAATATTTAATCCAGTTTCCAGAAGAATACCAGTAAGTAAAGGCAGCACATTATTTTTTCTCTTGATGGAGACAAAGCATGGTTTCCATGGCTTCTGTGAGTTCTGTGGCCACACTGGGCTCCCCTGGCCATTTTTGGGTTATATAAATGTTTGATGAAAATCTCTCAGGGGAAATCAAATTTTTATAAGAATGTAATGACAGCCCATCCAGTTGTATGATGACTTGAGTTGATAGCTCATTAACCCTTTACCAGCTTAAATTGTCACCCAGAGACTCTATAGAAGGCTTAGAAAAGAAAAATGTGTGTTTCGTAACACCCACTTTAAGTTCACAGAGAAGAATAACCACTCTTAATGAAATGTCTTACTGAAAAAGCCACTTTTCCTAATGTCTGACTTGGATGCACATGGTGTCACAGACTCCCTATCCAGGGGCATGGCACTCACAACACTCAAACTATGCATGAGGACAATGCCCTGTTCTTCATTCAACATCTGCTCCTGGGGTGAGAGAACCACAGGAGTATGGGGGAGGAAAATTACATTCCAATGAGCCTACAGTTCTTAGACACTATCAAATAAGCTCAGAATGTCTTTTTGGCCTGAAGTCAAGGTTTTCCTGGTGTGTCAGATGCCCCACATGGACTCCCGTCTGAGTTTAAATCTTACATCATACTATAAAAAGAAGTCAGCGGCTAGCCCTTGCCTCAAAGTAACTACATCAATAAAAATAAGTTCTTTTCATGTATCCTTGATGCTCTAAGCATGCATTGAGCTTCAAAACCCTAAGGAAGGAGGCAGAATGGTATACATAACCCAGATGGTAATGGACTAGAACAAGATCCATCCCATGTCTTAAACCACGTTCTGGATACTGTCAAGATCAGAATGTCAATATACCCAGGGTCCCTACTTACTCCTGCTCTAACTGCACCTTTTTGGCCCATTTTAATGCATAAATCGGCAAGAAACAGTAGGAAACTACTGATACACGCAAACAACATGGAAGGAGCTCAAAAACATCATGCTGGGCAAAAGATGCTAGATCAAAAAAGTATATACTGTATAATTCTATCCTTGTAAAGTTTTACAACATGCAAAACTAATTTATGGTGCATGAAATCACAACAGTGATTGTATTCGGGTGTGGGATTGACTGGGAAAAGACAAGAGGAATTTTCTGAGGTGATGGAAATACATCTTTCATTAAAATATTTATTCTCACTGGGTGTGGTGGCTCATGCCTACAATCCCAGCATTTCTGGAGGCTGAGGTAGAAGGACTGCTTGAGCCCAGTAGTTCGAGACCAGACTAGGCAACATAGTGAAATCTCACATCTACAAAAAATTAAACAAAAAGATTAGCTGGGTGTGGTGGCGTGTGCCTGTAGTCCCATATACTAGGGAGGCTGAGGTGAAAGGATCACCTGAGTCCAGGAGGTTGAGGCTGTGGTGAGCTGTAATCATGCCACTGCACTCCAGCCTGGGCGACAAGGGAGACTGTGAGTTCCTCCTCCTTCTATTCCTTGTTTCCTGTGGCTATATGTTAATTCTTGATTCCTACCTTCATGAAACCTATAGAGGAGACTAAAAGACCTCCTCTGTTCATAGTTCAGTGGCTCTCAAACTTTTTTTGATCCCCAACTCACAGTAAGAAATACATCTTGTATTGCCACACACATACATGACCATGAGTACAGAAGCACACACATACACATCTAACATAAAAGTTTCACAAAATAAAACTTAACCTCACTAGTGTAAAATAACTTGGTATTTCCTTTCTTGCCCTATCTAGTCAATTCATTTGAAGAAACAAGTCAAATACATAAAAGTGATTTTATGACTTCCCTAATGGATCTGACCTATGGTTTGAAAAATACTGTTCTAGAGTCTGAATATCTCTAGGGCAAAAACTACTATATTCCATTTGTACCCCGATGCCAAGCACATAGTCTCACCCTAAATAAATTCTTGCTGGACATTTATAGGCAAAATAACATTATCAGCTTTTTAAAAATTAAGTAACAAATCTGTTCCCATCCCAGGAAAAATAAAAACAAAACAAACAAAATAAAACAAGATACAACCAAAACACAGCAGCAAAGAAATGAGAGCAACTTTACTACCCATGTGGCCCAGATTTGCTCACAGTGACCTAGACCTAGGCCCTGCTGAGTACAAAGGAGACTTCTTTCTCAATGACACTTCACACCACATCCTGTGAAGTTAGGTTCTTAAAACACTTTTTTTAATATGATAAAAATGATGTACAAAATAGCTTGCCTCTTGGACTGATTTGAAAATGACTGCTCACACCTGATGGAGTGTCTTTGAATTGCAAGAGTTGTGACTAATACAGTGGTAGCCCCTCTCTTCCTAAGATAAGTATTTTGGTGAAAAATGTAGGGAAGCTGCCCTGAGGGCAGAAGGAAGAAGAGAGGGCAAACCAACAGAAGAAGTGTGGCAAACTGCACAGTCTTAATTTTTACAAATGCAAGATAAACAGCAGAAATTGTGCATAAGAAAGAACCGATTCTTTTCTTCATGCTGAGAACAGGCCTCTCTCCCAACAGTGAGGAGTTGCTCCCCAAGGAAAAGAAAGGATCTTGTCTAGGGCTTTGACCTCCATTGAAGGACAGTGTTCAGATTGGCATCAACAAGCAGAGAGAACAAAGACATGCCTGAACAGGGACCAGGGCTCCACTAACCCAGTAAGACAATGACATCCAGGGCATTACAAGGCTGAAACCTACTGAATCAAACATCTGTGGCTGAAGGGAGACAGGAATCTGTATTTTAGAGAAAATCCCCAAGCAATTCTGACATGAGGCTAGATTAAAGTGCCAGTGACCTGATCTAGTTCTTCAGTTTGCTGGAGAGGGGGTAGGGAGCGGGGTGGGAAACAAAGCAGGGTTCCAGAACAGTTCAGTGGCAAGCCTAGATGATGCAGCTAGTGCCATAACAGCAAATCTTAGACCAGAACCCCACGTGATATTGTGAAATGTGGTAGGTTTACTTATGGAGACACTGAGGCAAAAAAGCATGAGCAGTCTGGCTGGAGTCTTGCAAAGCCCAACTGCTGCTGCCAGGAGCCTAAAGCAAAGGTCAGACTGACGGGGATACACCTGAGACCCTGAGCTTTGGATGCTGATGCTAAATCAGCTAATGTCTCACTTTGATGACTAGAGGGAGAATGGCAAACGGTGTACTTACATAGCTTCACTTAGGACTGGCTCAGGACCTGAGCCAGATGGGAGTCTTCAGGTGAGAAGGATTAGAAGACTCGACTATAAGGTGTGAGGGAAAGCAGCAGGAAAAACAAGGCCAAGGCTGACTCCTAAGCCAAAGACAAAAAGCCAATCCCTGTGCTTGCTCCATGTAAAGCACATGTATCTACTCAGCTGCTTTTCTCAATCATCCTTGCACCACATATAATTTTTTTAAAAAAGAAGAGCCAGATGTCAGAGACAACTGGATATTTTCCTGATGAGACCCTAATTTACAGTGTAACCTTGGGCAGCATGTCTCTTAGCCTTCTGTAAGCCTAGCTTCTTTATCTACAAGTTGGAGATAACAATTATCCTTAAGAGTGATGTGCCAGTCCAATGAGACAATACTGAGAAACATCGAATGCTAGATTTATGTGAGGCATGGCATTCTAGCTCTTCAGTTCTTGCTATTCACGTCTATGTTTAAGAAGCTATGGAAAGGGAGAATTTCCTGGCAGAAAGAAAAGCACAGTAGTGTTATGACCATAGGCTCAGTAATCAGACCTAGGTGCACATTTTGCCTCTGTTATTTATGAACTGACTGTGGATAAGTTATCTAAACTCTCTGAATGTTAATCTGTAAAAACAGAGATAATAATGCCTTCCTTCCAGAATTGTTGTGAGAATTGAATGAGATAAATTGTGAAGTGCTTCACCTGGTACTTGGTACATGGCAAGACCCCGATGGATCCTGGCTACTAATCTCCATAATTGTTCTCAAAATGTTCCAGGTGCCTGAACATCAGAATCGGGGAATGTCTGATTCTGAAACCAGAAAAGAGGTGTCCTTCAGTCCCTGGCTTTAAGCACTTACATCAATAAGGTCAGACAGGTCGTGGATGTAGTACTTGAAGACAGATGCATTGGTTGCCTCCAAAGCCAGTAAATACTCATTCCGGGCTTTAATGGCCTTCAGCTTATTCTCCGTGTACTTGGCTTGGCGCTGAAAAGGAACAAAAGCTCAATTTTACTTTTTTTTAAAGAGGGGATTGTTCTCTAAAAGATGAAAGTACAGTACATTCAAGAACCACAATTGTGCTGCTACTCCCTATGCGCAACTGCCTTAAATTGGGTTCTAATTCTGTTTAATGAGATTCAAGGGCATAATGTAGATCAATTCAGGAAAGGTTAATGAAACTCCCTACTTAAGATGCATGCCCCACTTTGATTCTATCTTCAAATACCATTCTTCCAACTGGAGGAGGTGCCACTAGCCCTGCCCCTGAACACCTTACATTTGAAACCAAAGTCTAGGTGGATAGTCACTGCCCGCCTGCCCCCCAAGCAATAGGATATTGACCTCTATTTGGAAAATGGATTGAGAAAGGTGACTACTGTTTCTTGTTTATCTGCTAGAGGTTAGAAACTTGGAGCCCATGTGCCCAAGTTCTTCCAATATCTAGTATTCCTGCCAGGACAGAGAGACTCACTTTTAATAATTTGGTTCTAAAAGAACCCAGAGTTTCCTTGTCTGCTCTTCTTGGTGCCTACTGCAAAATTCCTATCAGTTCTGCCTTCCAGAACATTTCTCCACGGTCAGAGCATACACACCTTCTCCTTCATCTTTTCAATCTTCTTCACTGAACTCCTCCGAACATGTTTCTCCTCAATGCGAACGTTGGCTGTGGAGTCAGGGGAGCGTGGGGTCTGCCGGTCCTCCTGCTTTACTGATTTACCAATTTGCTTCTCCTCCTGCTTCTCCGCCTCCTTTAGTTTGCTCTGAGCACTGATGCTGTCGGCATTGTACATGTGATATGTCTTCATGACCTGCAAGACATCCCCCGCCCCCACCCCCAGAGGTCAAGCCAACAGGGTCAATTCTCTGTTTTACAGACTAACAGACTCAGCTGGACCTCTCCCCCTTGAAGCAATATCTTCATATCCCTACAGGGAAAATTCAGAAGTGTTTGGTTCAGCAAACATTATATATTAAAGACCACTCCAAAGCACAGGAAAGCAGTATTTGAACTGAGCCAACACATCTTGCTGAAATGACTTCATGTCTATCATGTATTATTTACTTCTATTTATTTTCATTTGCAATCGTTTCTTTTTGATATTGGCCAAGGGATTTCTATCACTTAGTTGCCTCACAATGTCAAGTAGACGGGAAACAGTACCACCACTCTCAGCTCCTAAGGACAAAGCTTTTCTAGGCTGGTTAGGAGCCCCAAAGAGAGCAGTACAGTCAGTAGAATAGCCTATACTTTTTGTGCATTTCAGATATAAAACAGGAAAGAGGAAAAGCCTCCAAAAGCTCTTTCTACTGGCTTGGCATTCTGAGATCTGTCTGCTGTTTTATCCAGATCTAACACCCTTTCTCACAGCAACTAGAACAGCAAAAGCAATAACAATGCCAGCTGTCATTTATTGAGCAGTTAGTATATTCCTGGCTTTGTACCAAGTGCAACACACATATTTTCTCATTTCATCTTTGCAGCAATTCTATGATCTAAACCACAACCCTATGAAGATTGTACACCTCCACAACAACTCAGGCAAGAGGCTGGGAAGGAATAAAATCCATATCAAGTATAACCAAAGTTGCTACAGGAAGTATAAAAAAGAATGATGCTTTTTTTTTTTTGAGTTGGAGTCTCACTCTGTCACCCAGACTGGAGTACAGTGGCCACTCTCGGCCACCACAGCCTTGACCTGCTGGGCTCCAGCAATCCTTCCACCTCAAGCCTTCCAAGTAGCTGGAACCATAGGCGCACGCTACCACACCTGACTAATTTTTTGATTTATTGTAGAGATGAGGGCTCCCCAGGTTGCCCAGGCGGGTCTCGAACCCGCGGGCTCAGGCAATCCACTCACCTTAGTCTCCCAAAGTGCGGAATTACAGGCTGAGCCACCGAGTGTGGCTGAAGGATGCAATTTTTTAAATTTCCATCAAAGCAACTATTTAGAAGTCCAATCCTTTTTCTTATTGGGGAGGCCGGGAAACTTGCTTCCAGTCCTCCCAAACAATATTATTTCCAGCCACACAGTACCTGCTCTACTCTGTTGGACATTTCTGTTTCTACACAGGGAGGCTCTAGCTTTTATCTGGGGATTAAAAATGCTTGGTAATAAACCAAGCAATGTGAAGTTTAAGAGTGCTGAAATTTTGATGCCATAAGATTTCTTTTTTATACATCCTTTTTTTTTATACTTCCTTCCTGTAGCAACTTCGGTTACACTTGATAATGGATAAGATTTCTTTGAGAGGGAGAATTAGAAAGTGTAGGAGTTGGGTAGATGTGTGGATATGTGTTGGGGGTTAAACAACATAGGAGAGCAAGGGAACAATAGAAATATTAATTTCTACCACTTGTACATGTTCTTTGCCAAGGGCTTTATGTTTCCCACCTCATGTAATTCTTAGAACAACTCTATGAAAGACTTATTATTATTTCTACTTCTAAAGATGAGTAAATAAAGCTCAAAGAGATTATCACATTCAAGGTCACACGGCTAGTAAACGGCAGAATCAGGATTCAAATCTAGGTCTGTCAGACAACAAAGACCACACTCTTAGCCATTGTGCATCAGTGCAAAGGACTGGAGTTAAATTAGCTGGAGGAAAAGTTAAGTATAGTCAGGAGATTCTGACAAAGAGAAACTAGTTCCATTTATGAACTTGAATCAGAGCAGTGTCTCAACTGGGGGCTATTTTGGCCCCAAGGTGACCTCTGGCAATGTCTGGAAATATTTCCAGCAATCCCCAAGTTGTGACAGTGCTAAGCATCCTATATACAGGACAGCTCTCTACAACACGGAATTATCTGATTCCAAATGTCAATGGTGCTGAGGTTGAGAAAAGCTAAGTTAGAGAAACTTTGGAGGTATACTAATCCCTTATGATCAGCTGGAGATGGAAGAAGGAAAAAAGAATATTGGGATGCCGACTAAATCAAAGTACATTAGAATCTGAATTATGTCTCATTTTGGATGCAGAATGTTTTAAATCAGCTTCACCTTATTCTGAACCTGATGCCATTTCCCTTAAGATCTACTCAGATTATACGTTGCAGATTCTCTATATAGAAGAAACAATATTTAACAACCAAGGACATTAAAAAGCCTTTCTAAGTAATTCAAATAGACCTTCAGCTTTTCAGGTTAAGTAAGAAGTAGGAAAGAGGCATCTGTTATGCTGGATGCAGAAGAATAGATAGGAGGCTCCTTTTTTCTCCTAAATCTGATTAAGAAATTCAAAAGCTGTAGTGAACAGTTATAAAAGAGAGCAATTTTTTTAAAAGTGATTTTCTGTTTCATGAAGGTACATGGTAAAAAGGAAACACTATGAATGAATATGAGAGATTAAAAAAAAAAGCTCAAAGAATAGTGCCAACAAGACAAGTAATAAAAATCAACTATTTATATCGTCACTTTTCCCTAAAAAAACTTAAAGAACTCTATTGGTAAAACAAACAAACAAACAAACAAACATTACCTTGCCTAAAAAACTAAAATTTCCTGAGAGTAAACACCACTTCTTTTGTATTCTCTTCTCCACAGTTGGGAAAAATGTCTTTATAAACGGCGGTGGTTTTATAAACAAAGTAGTTGCCCACATGACTTAATGACACTGAATCTTTCCTCTAGGGAAATTTGGGAGAAGCAGTCCTACTACCTTCCAACTTCAGAAAAAACTGAGGTACCCAAAAGCTAAAGCTTGAGTAAGTAATGCTAAAACAACTGGGGAAATAAGAAAGTCAAAATAGGACTTAGAGCACACACATATAGGCAAATACAAACTAGAGGGAAAAATCTGAAGTCTAAATACTCAGTTCTATGAAGAGTATTTACTTTACTTTGAAAAACTAAATGTTGAATTCATACATTTAGCTCTGCTCCCCCCCAGCCACATCAAAATAGTATAAAAAGTTATTATTAGGAATAAACTAAGGGGAAAAAAAAGAATGGAAGCAGAAGCTGAAAAGCAAGTATGCAAGTAGCAACTGACCTACTGAATCCTAAACCTTAAGTAAAAAGAGCCAAGAAACAGAAGCCCTAAGAGAAACTGGTGGCAGTGGGGTGAAGGTGGTGCTAAAAACAAGGGAAACAATACAGTTAGACCTCCAGGCCCCCTGCTCCATCATAGTGGAAAACTAGAAGTTCATTCTCTTAGAGAGAGTCTAGGACTTTTTGTACATTTCAGATATAAAATAGGGAAGAGGAAATGTCTTTAAAAGATCTTTCTACTGGCCTGGTCAGGCTCAGTTGAGGATAGGGTGTACTGAACTTAAACAGGAGGATCAGCTGAAAATTCCACACTGAATGTTGAGATGATCCAGGTCTCTTCATACCTCAGTCTTCAGACATAAGTGGGAAATCAAAAGTGCCTTCTTGGCTGGGAGTGGGGGCTTACACCTATAATCCCAACACTTTGGGAGGCAGAGGAGGGTAGAAGGCTTGAGGCCAGGAGTTCAACACCTGGCCTAGGCAACACAGTGAGACCCTGTGTGCGTGGTGGTGCATACCTGTAGTCTTAGCTACATGAGAGGCTAAGCTGGAAGCAAGGCTTGAACCCAGGAGTTCAAGGTTGTAGTGAGCCATGATCGTGCCACTGCACTCGTCTTGGCGACAGAGAGACCCTATTCAAAAAAAAAAGTGCTTTCTCTCAGCAATCTGACCTTCTAAAACAAAAGACCTAAAAATACAGATGTCAGGGCTTCCCCAGGGACACAGCCCAGTCAGATGACCCTACAGTGAAGATTATGGTTAACACAGAAATTTTTAGTGCCTAACTTTAAAATGTAAGCAGGCAGCTAGGGATTATTGAACATTTAAGGAAAATATCTACTACGAAGACCAAAACCAAAACTAGCAATTTAGAGAAAACAGAATATACAGCGATTAAAAAAACTTCAAGCCGGGCTCGGTGGCTCAGCCTGTAATCCCGCGCCTTTGGGAGGCTGAGGTGAGTGGATTGCCTGAGCCCGCGGGCTCGAGAACCGCCTGGGCAGCGAGACCTCATCTCCACAATAAATCAAAAAATCAGCCGAGCATGGTAACGCATGCCTGTAATTCCGGCTACTTGGAAGGCTGAGGCGGAAGGATCGCCGGAGCCCAGCAGGCGAGGCTGCGGTGGCCAGGAGCGGCCACTGCACTCAGTCTGGGTGACAGAGTGAGACTCCAACTCAAAAAAAAAACTTCAAAAACAATCTATCAATAATAGCCCCAGAGAGATAAATGAGAAATAAAAAGATACCGTATCATGAAACAAGAGCTGGATGCAACAAAAAAGGAACATGTACAGAACTATAAAAGAGTCTCTCCAAGGAGCCTGACTTCATGCCCCTCTTCTGTGCAGACATGTAAAAGAGTAATCACCTCATTTTTAACTTACGGCTTTACTTTTCTGCCTCTCTCTAATAAAACTAAATGCCTTGAGTTTAGGGACATCTCATTTGTTTTTGTATCCTTAGTGCCTAGTGCCAAGGTCAAATAGGGAAGTGATTTAAGGGACGATGAACTGCTATCGTTTCAAGGAACAGGTGTTAAATACCAGTCTGAAGCAGTTCTGCAAGCAGACAGCTGCTGTACCAGTCAAGGGGATATATATTGAGGAGAAGTACAGAAGCACAACACCTCTGGGACAACAGCCTCAGAGTGTCCCAACATCTCTTCTGTCTTCCTCAATTCTAGGGATTCCTTGACTCTTCACATTGAGTCAATACACAGTGGCATCGATACACAGTGGGAGCTTGCTGGGCTTGCCCAGACACAGCTTCTGAGTACAACTGAGGCAGAGAATCCCAGAGTTCTCTGGGAAGCAGTGTGATCTGACTTCAAACGCATTCTTGGAGCATCAGTCAGAAAATGAAAGCCATTATGCCATGGCTTACATACTAGCCAGCTCATTATGGGGGGAAACACGTGGAGAAGAATGCTCACTGGGATTGCTCTTGGAATAGCAGCTGTGGGAAGCAGGCGCTGGCACAGAATGCCAAGTCAGGGAAATCAAAGGCCCTTCAGGCAGAAAAGAGAAAGGTGCAGAGGGGAAGTTGGCTACTTATGGTAGGATTCTGGGCCTCTTGCCCAAAAGCATCTTTATTTGGGAACACCTGGACCCTGTCCCTTGGATCAAGGTTCAAAAGTACTTATATTACTAACCTTTGGGTAATTGGTCCCCTAAAAAGAAGTAGTCAAGAGAATTAGAGGCAGATGCGAAGTAAGAAGAGCACTGAAATACTGGACGGGTTTCTTACATCTTTGGTTTCCTTTCCCTGGTGCCTGCAGATAACTTGTATTACCTACAAGGCCACTGAAATGAGAGGCCCTTCCCTGCCTTCCTGACAAGCAAATAAGAGAAAAGCTCCCTACAAGAAACTTTCCCTTGCTCCTTTCTTTACTCCTCTGAGAAAGTGTATATATAGCAAGTAGTTTCTCAAAGCAAGTAAACAGTAGTCCCAACTTCCTACTTAATGAAACTACTATCCCATGCAAGGTGACCAATCATCCTGTTTTACCCAGGACTTTTCGAGTTTTAGTACCGAAAGTTTCATGTCCCAGGAAACTCTTCAGTCCTAGGCAAACCAAGAGTTAGTCACTTTATTCAGACCAATCCTAAGCTCATCTCTCCCCCTTCAGAATAATTTATAATTCTAATCTCTAAACTTTCTGATGACCTATAGAACCTGAAAACTCCCTTTAACCCTTTACTGTAGTTTGATATGTCAGGAAATCTCCCTCCCACCTACCCCATACCCCAGGATATGGAAATACCAGTACATGGAGTATATGCAGACACCAGGGTCATAGAGGTATGGGGTATCATCCCAGGTTCATACAGCTACTGGTTGGCATGGGGTAGAATCTAGATGCCTAATTCAGGAGACTAGTCACTAGACTAGAGTTTCTCAATCTTGGTACTATTACATTCTGGGAGAGAAAATTCTTTGTTGTTGGGGGCTGCCCTGTGCAATAGGCTTTTAGCAGTATCCCTGGCCTCTAGATCTTTAGATGCTAGTAGTACTCCCTACTACTCCAGCTGTGACAACCAAAAATGTCTGCAGATGTTACAAAATGTCCTCCTTGAGGGAAAATTTACTGTGCTTGAGAATCACTGCACCAGACTGTTCTGCCTTCTCTGGAACTTTCTAGTGTCCTTCACTTTTTTTTTTAGCTTTTGTCTTATCATTGTCTACTAGATGAAAATGTCAAATTTTTATTTTGGCCTTGTACTGATTATAAGAGTGTATACCAATTCACCTTATGGCAGGGGACAACACATTCTGGCAATTCTCAATTTGAATACCAGTAGGAAGATTTTGTTTTTAATTTTACATTATTCTTAACTTATATAAAAGTGGGGTCTCTCTATGTTGCCCAGGCTGGTCTTGAACTCTTGGACTCAAGCAATCTTCCTACCACAGCCCCCCAAAGTGCTGGGATTACAGGTGTGAGCCACCACACCCGGACAACCAGTGGGAAGATGTTACACTCTGCATTGACTGTGGCCTCACAGTGGCCAGTAAAGCAGTTGGTCAATATTAGATTGCCTGAAGTCTGCAGTTGGAGTTAGCAGCTAAGCCCTCCTCAGACCAGAGAAGTAGGTTCCAGGGTTTTCCTCCTCATTCCAACACAGCTTAGACCCTTTCACTTATTTGTTTGTGTTTTTCTTTAAAGCAGGATTTATTGAGAGGACAGAAAAGCTCCTACAGTGGAAGGGAACCAGAAGGGGTTGCCCTATTTGTTTTTTAATCATAGCATATGAAGAAATCTAGGACTCTGGGTAAAGGCTAATAGATCCCTGGATGCTAGTCTTCCTCTGCTGCCTCAAGTTGCACTGCAGAGTGGTACGCTGGATTTGAGTTGAATGGGAGTTTGCGGTTATCCAACCTACTTCTCCCCAGAAACAGCTGCAAATAGCAGAGGCTCAAGATGCTTACAGGAAAATAAAAGGATTTATATAATGACTACATGTGTCATTTTCTATCTTAGGGAATTATCTACCAGAAGAAAGGAGAAATAGTTCTTCTTGGTGCCTAGAAGATGCTCTAAAAATAAGGAGCAGTGTAAAGCATTAAAAAGACAAGGTTCAGGAAACCTATCCAGTCTGAAAATGGCTCAACATCAATGTGTTTCTATTTTTAAAAAAGACTGAACTTCATTTGAGAGAAATGAAAAATTTGGAGCTGAACCAAAGGTACCATCTATCTACTTGGCTTTAGAGCTGAAAAGTCACAGAGTAGATATTCAAAACAAACTGAGCATCACTGGAGACAAGTCGGATGACGACTCTACTCTATTTACTTGTTTAACAGTTGCCATGACAAAATGGCCACACCTCAACTTCTGGATCAAGAACATGGAGTTCTCTGATCCCAAATGCCAGTGTTGCATGTCGCCACTGTCTGTTTTCTTTTTTTTTAGAAAGCAGAAGTTTATTAAGAAGACAGAAAACCTCCCATAGCGGGAGGGGACCCAAAGGAGGGGTGTCTGCCTGTTCTTTCTG